GCTTGCGAATGTTTTGAAAGACTTTTGAGGAATAGTACAATACCCTGACAAAATATTTACTACAGAGAACTTACTGCCGATGGATTCGATAATTGTTTGTGCAGATTCTATTGGAAAATTACCGAAAAATGAAAAAATTATTATGCTAAAAAACGTGCAGAAATTTTATATTGAGTCATCGAAGTATATTTTAACAAAATCACCACTGAGGCTAAAGGAATTGAAATATTTTTCATTTTTAAATCCGTTCATGAATAAAGAAGTACCAAGTTATTACGTAACTAGAATTTGTGATAAATTACCTTGTAACATTAACAAAGAATCTGTGGTTGAAGAATTTACAACAACAGTTTGTAAATACAGAAAATTTAGATTCTTTTGAACTAAGTCCTGTAGATACCTTCTGGTCAAGTACGGACGAAAATAGATATCCGGAACTTTCAAAAGTTGTGAAAATGTATCTAAGTTTAGTTCACGGCAGTGCTGATGTGGAAAGAGGTTTTTCATTGTCTGGACGCCTTTTAAGGGAAGATAGAACGTCAATGTCTTTAAGAACCCTTAGTAACAAACTGTACATTATTGACGCATTAAAAATGGTAGACAATCGTCCTGAACTGTTTCATATTACACCAGAGCTTATGAATATGACCCGATTAGCATCAAATTCATATAAAAGATATTTGGAGGAAAAGCAGTTCGAAGTAAAACGATTAGAATTGGAAAATCAAAAAATTATAGAAGAAAAAGAAAGAGAAAAAGAGCAGTTGAAATTGTTTGAAAATAAACAAAAAAGAATTGAAGAACTGGAAAATGAGTTGAAGACGGTAAATAAAGAAAAAACAGTTTGTCAGCTAACTGTTGATCAGTTACTAGATAAAACAAATAAAGCCATTAAAAAAGTTTTAAAGTCTACAGAGTGCGAATTAGACGTGAAAATCGCTGGCGTGTTGCTGCATTCAGTTATTGAGCAACGAAAAGACGAAAAACAAAAAATCAAGCAAACGGACAAATTACAATTTAATATTTTGAAGCGCAAGAGTACTGTAATTAGTGGACTAGTTGATAAGAAAAAAAAGTCTTCAGAATAAGATTTTATTTCTCATTTTATTTAATTTGTGTTATTACAAAGAGATATTATTATTTTAAAAGTTATTATTACAAGTAGTTTGTTCTTTTCTTATATATATTTTATTTTGTATTTATTATTTTTAAATTAAAATTTTTCCTATTTGTTTGCTTATGAGATTTTAAATAAACTTTCCATTTTTTTGTCAAGTGATTTTCTGCAAGAGTTATTTGTATCGGTCTGTGTGAACATTTTGGACAATAAATACCTGTATATTCCGTTTTTAGGACAGGATATGCAAAAATGGCACAGCCTGCAAATCTGACGGGTTCATATTGGTTCATATTCTTTAAATTCATGGGTTCATATTTTCATATTTTCTTGCCAAGTTTAAGTGAGAGCCCTGCAATTTGCAAAATGTTTGCTTAAAAATAGTATAGGTGCCCTAAGAAAATTTTTTTTTCCGCTAATTGTAAAAATATCTAAGAAAAATCACGGATTCGAGATCATGAATCAATTTTCTATAAAATAGGTACCAGTGTGAACATACTCATGCAAGTCTTGTTCAGTTTGTCTAATTTTGATATTTTTTGTTAGAAAAAGGTGAAATCGCTGGATGAATTTTTTTTGCCCTTAACTGGAACATTATCTCAACAATCACCACGAATTCGACAGACATCATTCTGACTTATTCGGGACTCTCGTTCGACTTGCCTAATTTCAACATTTTATTAAATCGACATGAAACGCTAGCATCAACCTGAACAAGGTATAATTGATAAACAGGTTTACTGAGTTCTTGGCAACGTGTGAAGCGAAGAGAGTATATAGACTTTTTTTATTTATATTAAAGTCAGGTTTAATATTACAATAAATATTGAAAATGTTGCATCGTAAAACCTTCCTCTCAAAATTTCTGAAAACGTTTTCTAACATAATGGAATTGTTATTAATCTCCAAGCATTTTTGTTCAATTCTTTCTTCCTCCAGATTTGCACCGGCGTTTGAAAAATTGTGTTTTTAAGATGAGGTCAAAAAAAATCACAAGTTGTCAAATCACAGAAACGAGGTGGCCGAAGAATTTCGGTATTTCTATATTTTTAACTAGTTGACAAATGGCTCTAAAATTTCTTTTCAATATCTAGCAGCATTTAGTGTATCTAATAAAAAATGACAGTAGAAACCGTTGTAGATAATTTTTTTATAGCTCCTGAAAGAATATTGGTCCAATGATTCGTCTTTGAGTAATTTCTGCTTACACACCAATTTTTATTTCCCGAGAGTAAGCAAAGGAAGTATTGTAATCGAGTCCGTCGGCCGACTCTCTACTTTTACATTTACTTTAACATTACAGACGTGCATTTGTTTTGTTGCTCTGACTAGATTCCGTGAATGTGATATAGACAAGTTATAATCAAACAATTGTGAATTACATCATCAAAAATTAAAATAAAATCCAGTGTTTTATATAATAAGCGGAAGTCGAAGCAATAAAAAAGTCTGGGCGACCATCGGTATTGTTTGCAGTTTCTCTGTTCGACTCTCACGTGTACAATCTCAACAAGTGTTACCGCTTGTTGTCTTAAATTAAGAATGCTTGTACATAAATGATTTTGAATCATCTCTGCTAATACACGCGGCATACGTGAGTAAACTGTTTCGTTATTTTATTGATTATAAATCAATATTCAAGACGACCCAATTCATTTTCCCGAAAATTTGGGAATACAATACTATTGTTTTTAGTATTACACTACATCTATCCAAAATGTAATGAGAAAAAAACATAATAAGCATGCAGTTGTCGTGTTTCCGACAGCAAGGGAAGTACTGTCTAAACTCTTTAGACCAATTTTTTGAGGCTGCAATGGCTAAATTCATGTGGGTTTTCATGACTCCAAATTCTCATATTTTGTGAGTTTACAGGAACATTAATTTGCTGACGTAATTGATGAATTGACGTTTTTGGTGTTTCTTCCATTATTTCTTCAACATGAGCAATAACTAGACAGCGGATTTCTGTCGGGCTACGTCACGATTTTAGTGGGGACGCGCTGCATCGCCGGGACTCAGTAGCGGGTGATAGGTAATCACTGAATTTAATTGTCACTTGATTCCATAAATACAATTAACGATTTATTAATCAAACGGCTAACTAAATGAGAACTGGGATTAACAGCAGAGTGCAACGAAGCAGCGTTATTCTAATCTCAAATAAACGAAGTGCAGCCGGTAACTGCAATGAATTCCCATCCCGTACGAGCCGTACCGAGTTTGGCCTTGTCTAGCCCGACAGAAATCCGCTCTCTAGCAATAACTTCAGGTGTTCTACCAGTTTTTGTGAGGAGTTTTATCGTTCGGTCCGAGGTTTTTTTAAACTGCATGTAATCGACAGTAAATATTTGGCAATTCAACTTAAAATTCCTCCATGTAGGCCTGCAACGAATAAGCCCATTCATCATCAACTTTAACCTCATTCCGATAATAACTCTGAACCAGAAAAACATTGTGTTCTAAACTGTAAGCCACGGACCAAGAATAGAACGTTGGCTGGTTGGTTAGTTGTGAAAACAACTGTGTTTTTTTTGAATTCAGAAAACAGACAACACGCAAAAGTACTTAAACTGAACAACAACGAAAAAATCGGATAAAGCTTATTAGCGTAAACAAGTCTGCTTGTTAGAAATGTCAAACCACTGTCAAATGTCAATCATGGAATTAATCATGCACATGCGTTTTTCGCTACGTTTCCTTCTACCAAAATTTCAAAGTTAACTTGATGAATTTTTTAAATGGACACACGTTATGTTTATGTGAGATAAAGGAAGGAAATTCTCTGCGAGTCCGCCTCAGCATCAGACAATGTTAAAACAGAAGACCGGCGAAAAGAATGTCCAGTATACAAGCGCGGTTGCTCTAATATTAAAAATGTAGCAATTTGGCAAGACATTACTAAAATGTGTTGATTCCAATTGGCTATGGTGAACGTATTTTTTTTTTTTGAGAATATGAAAAATTGGTTATGTAGAGTATGATTGGAGAACAATGTACAGTTTTATTAAATTTATTTCGTCTCTTTCTTAATACTCCAGCCACTCCAAAAATTATTTAAACGTGAGATCTACTTTTTTTATCAGTATTTTATTTACCTTCGTTAAGAAGAGGCTATTATGATCCTCAAATATGAATTTTCTACTACTACTTTTCACTTGAAATTTTTGCATAGTAAATGGGTTTTAAGTTGTATAAAATAACATAGTCCTACACATGTAGTTTATAACTCTGTATGGCGTTTTTACACGAAACGCCCAGATTTTTGGAAAAAAAAATCAAAACTATAAAACAACATTGCATTCATATTTTTTAGATTTGCTTGAACAGGTGGCCCAAAAAACTAATGAATGAGTCGTTTCCTGTCATGAGTTTATGGTTTTTTAGAATAATGCGTTTGCATCAACGCAAAATCTATTTAATCCTCTAAAGCAGGGGTGGGATTTTGTTTCTACCGATACGATACGATAAATGACAAGGACGAAAATATACATTTCAGATGCGACCACATTTTATCGGTCCCGATATTTTATTGTTACCGATTTACACGACTTATATGACAATTTTAAATTATAATCTTATTTCGATAATCTAATGGTAACGATCCCTTAATACGTTGTATTTTAATCTAGAGCTCTTTGTAGCTCCATGCGCAGACATTTTTCCTTGCTAAAGCTTCGTAAATAAACGTTTAAAGAGCATTGAAAATTTAACAAAAATGAGAAAATCGTTGCAGCTCCTAATACACACTTTGGTGTGAATTTCGGCTTCAAAATTACGATGCGATCTTTCATTCTCTTTGAAATTTGCGCCTGGAAGAACTTTTTTTTTTAATAAAATTTTGAAAATCCATGTATATGTTGTCTTCATTTATTTTCTGCAGAACCTTTACCCGTCTATGGACCCAAGTGGGCCAAAATATCAACAAATATATCAATTTTCCACGCCTGATCGGCGAATGCGGCGGCAAAAATTACCATTTCGTCCATCCTAGCGCTGACGTCACTTCGGTGGTCAATGCCACCATTAGGAGCGCTTTCGAATTCTGCGGACAAAAATGCAGCGCCTGCTCAAGAATGTACGTTCCGGAGTCTCTATGGCCCAAGATCAAAGAGGGCCTCTTGGAGACAAGAAGCAAACTGAAGATCGGCGAACCGACAGATTACGAATCGTTCACTTCGGCCGTAATCGACGATAAGGCATTTAAAAGAATCTCAGGGTACATCGACCATGCCAAGAGTTCATCCAATTTGGAAATCATCGGAGGCGGAAAATACGATGACAGGTGAGCAAACAATAAAAAACAACGCTTGTAACAGACTATGATTTACTAAAATTGTTGTTCTAGTACCGGCTACTTTATCGAACCAACGATCGTAGTTACCAAAGATCCCAAAGATAAAATAATGACGGAGGAAATTTTCGGTCCTGTGCTATCCATTTACGTTTACAAAGACAACAAGTTGGAGGAAACTGTAGGGTTGGTTGGAACTTCAACCGCGTTTGCGCTGACTGGAGCGATTTTCGCACAAGACGAGTAATTGATTTGAGGTTTTTTGGTCATAAAACACTGGTCATTGTTTTTGCAGGAAATGGCTAAGATATGCCATTGAAGAACTCAAGATGACGGCAGGCAACTTTTACGTTAACGACAAGTCAACGGGAAGCGTGGTTGGCCAACAACCGTTTGGCGGCGCCAGGTTATCGGGTGAGTAACCAATCATTCGGGTCAGCGTAAATGACTTAAGTCTGTTTCAGGAACCAACGATAAGGCAGGTGGTCCTCACTACGTCTTAAGATGGGGCAATCCGCAAGCCGTCAAAGAGACTTTCGTACCTTTAACAGAAGTCTCTTATCCGTACATGAAACAATAATTATATTTATTATATATCCGTTGATCAGTTTTATCTTTTGTGGTAGATTTTTTACCATTGATTCTCACCGATTGGATTTTTATTTGAACAAGTGTAGATTCAAGTATTGGATTTTATATTGTTGGAATATTTAATTTAATTTTGTTTTTATCGATTAGGTATCAATTTTTCGCGTTGGTTTTTCAAAAAAACAACGTCTAGGAAATGTTTAAGCTAGAAATGTATAAGGAAATTCTCGACAATATTATTGTAATTACTGTAACTGTTATAATATGAACGGAAAGATGTAATAAATGTGTATTATAACTCAGTTCTGTCATTTATACGTGTATTAGAAATTTGTGATCTTTTGTCAGTCGTGTACATTGTGAAATCCCGTTTGTAAACTTAAGGAAAACACGTTATTTTAAACTTGTAAAGTAGCAATAAATGCTTCTGTTTGTTAGAGTGTGGCGTCTGTTTTTGTCGCTTTTTTACCTGCGAAAATTCACACCTCGATTCAAACACGGAATAAATCATATCCAACCTCAAAATCTTGCCTTTTAAATGTCTCTCAAATAACATACGTTTATACTTGTGGCTTATAAATCGGTCTTTATTTTTTTACTCTGGACATCCAAATTTTTTAAATTTGATGTTAGCGACGTGTACGAACGCCGTGTTTTATAATAATAATAATAATTTATTAAGGATGGTTAAATGCATAACGCTACGGAGAAGGCGCCTTCTACGGCGCATAGGTGGCGTTGTAGCACGAGCGGAGTTTGGGGCTCCTGGTTGTGGCTGTTCTCCCACCATTACGGTCGCAAACTCACGTCATCCCGACCGCTCCCCTGACTTTCATTCAAGATCTGCGTCTTTTGCAGAAGCGATAAATCCCGACAGCTCGGCTAGGAACCGCGCCCTCCATTTCCGCCACGTGTTTCTGTCTTATTTAACCCAATTCCATTTAAATGTTCACTTTCTATAACTCTGATATTAAACTACAACCGAACAAGTATTAAAGTTTCAAAAAGAGCAGTAAACAACATTTAAATTCGCCATACACTCGTGAAATTTTAAACAGCAAAGAATTCTTATCTGAGATAAGACTGGACACCAGACAATTTATATGATCGAAGCATTAATCAACAAGATATTTACATTCAATTTAAATTATACAGAAAAGAAAATTACTGAGGTTAAATTGTGAGATAGAAAAAAATTGCATGACGTGAAAAATTGTGAAGCTAACAAAATTACATGAGGTTAATATTTGCCACACTTTATCAACGAATTTACATGATGTTAAATTGTGCCTTGATCCAAGTGACTGGTTACTAAAAACAATTAGCTTACTGTCCTCAGCTTATTCCAAACAAACACATGATAAATAAAGACAAAATGGATCCCTCGTCGCAAGAATAACGTTTCGGTGGTGTAATTTTCCACGTCCGAGAAATACGTCTCGTTGATGTTCGGATGATAACAGCCTAAGGGGAGACACTTTTAATCCCCCCGTCTTTCAGTTCACGGTATTATGGATTCTACCGCCCTTTTCACGGCGAGCAATCTTGTGTGAGGAATTAAGAAGTGTTCTAATGTAACTAGTTAACGATTAAAATCCCAACATGAACTATGAATTTACAAACAACAAAACAAATTTATACCACGTGTTAGCGTCGGTTGAAAATTCGCATATTTCCGCTTCGAAAAACCGCAAGAATTAGCTACGGTTACTAAACTTCACCTAGCTAACTCACCACGTGCTTTCACTCACACCAAACAAATCAAAAGTGACGTGCCCGAACAGAATGACATAGTTCAACTCTTTACAAAGCAAGCCAACTTCTACCAACCCTCTCACTAGATACTGCCCCACAAATTCTCCTAGGAGAGCTACCAACTACCAAAAAAGAACTAAACGTGCACATGGTTGCCTATGTTTAACGATTTTCTTGATTTGAATGTATCTTATCGAAAAGATTGTTGACGTCATAATTTTTTATGTAATCCTACGAGCGCAAATTTGCTCTTACATTAAATTGTAGCTATAAACGATTTTGACACATTTGTGGAATTTTGAAACTTTCATAAAACAAAGAAATGTATTTATTGTTTTTATTCTTTTGCAGAACATTTATGCATCTCTGGGCCCAAGTGGGCCGGAACATCAACAAATACATCAATTTCCCGCGTCTGATTGGCGAGTGCGGCGGTAAAAACTACCACTTCGTCCACCCAAGCGCTGACGTCACTTCGGTGGTTACCGGTACCATCAGGAGCGCTTTCGAGTACTGTGGACAGAAGTGTAGCGCTTGTTCGAGAATGTACGCACCGAAATCATTATGGCCAGTCATAAAAGAAAAACTCTTAGACGTTAGAAGTAAGTTGAAAATCGGCGATCCGACAGATTACGAATCGTTTACTTCGGCGGTGATCGACCAGAAGGCGTTCACGAGAATCAAAGGATATATAGAACATGCAAAGAAGTCACCTAATTTGGAGATCATCGGAGGCGGAAAGTGCGATGACAGGTGAGCAGAGGTAGTTATTTGCACCCAAAAAGAAAACAGCATTATTTATATAGTGGGGGTTCTGGCCACTTTTTGGCGGTAAAATTTGAATCCCCACTATTTAATAACGAAGTTCTTATAACTTATTGAGGTCCTTGCTTCAGCAAGGGTTACTTTATCGACCCCACCATCGTAGTTACCGAAGATCCGAAAGATAAAATCATGACAGAAGAAATTTTCGGTCCGGTGTTAACGATTTACGTCTACGAAGACAAGAAGTTGGAGGAAGTTTTAGAGTCTGTGGGAAGTGTAACCGTGTATGCGCTCACGGGATCTATCTTCGCTCAAGACCAGTTAGTGATAGACGTATTATTAATTTAAGGTCGCGGAAATTTGTTTAAGGTGTACCTATGTAATTGCTCGATTTGAAAAAATCGTTCTTCGCACAAATTTCCGTCACCTTTAGTGTGATTATCGTAAGACCATCACAAAATTATATTGTCAGGAAGTGGCTTGCACGTGCTTTCGAAGTACTGAAGATGACAGCTGGCAACTTTTACATCAACGATAAGTCAACGGGGAGTGTAGTTGGTCAACAGCCGTTTGGGGGCGCCAGGTTATCAGGTGAGTAACGAATGATAAGCCCAGGCCATAGATGACTTAACTTCGTTTCAGGAACCAATGATAAAGCAGGCGGTCCTCACTATATTCTGCGATGGGCCAATCCACAAGCCATCAAAGAGACATTTGTACCGTTGAACGACGTTTTCTATCCCTATATGAAACAATAAAATCCTTAGAATTATGTATTCGTTGGTCCGCTTATCTTTTTTTTCTGGTAGCCTGTGTATCGTTAATTAATTGCATGTGGAGTCTTGAATGAACAAAAGTATGCTTAATTTAATGTAGTTTTAATTTATTAGGGATCAATTTTTAGCGTTAACTTTAAAAATAACAAGGTCGGGAAATGTTTGAGACAACATAGTATACGAAAATCCCAATAATGTGGTTACTGTAACGATTGTAGTAGTTGTATTAGGACAGGACTGATAGAATAAAATGTGTAATATTATTTTTTTTGTCGTTTATCTTGTGTTAGACCCCTCAAAATTCCTCGCCTCGGTGAATTCTAACAAAGTCCGAGAAAAAAGGCGTTTCTAATTTGCAGACCACAGTTTATCTTGCAGACTGGGGGTTAAAAATGCTCCAATCAAGTTGAAACTCAACATTTGCTTATTTCTCAATACGAAGATTATTGACACAAAATTTCAACCCAATCGGAGAAACCGTTAAAAACTACCCCCAAAACAACCTTGCAGACTGGCGCTTAAAAATACTCTAATCAAGTTAAATTTTGACATTTGCTAGTTTTTCAATACGAGGATTATTGATGCAAAATTTCAGCCCATTCGGAGAAACCCTCAAAAATCACCCCCAAAACAACCTTGCAGACTGGGGATTAAAAATGCTCCAATCAAATTAAAACTCGATATTTGCTTATTTCTTAATACGGAGATTGGTGGTACAAAATTTCAAACCGTTCGGAGAAACCCTTAACAACCACCCTTAAAACAGATTTGCAGACTGGGGGTGAAAAATGCTCCAATCAAGTTAAAACTCAATATTTGCTTATTTCTCAATACGAAGATTGTTAATACAAAATTTCAATCCGTTCGGAGAAACCGTTAAAAACTACCCCTAAAACAACCTTGCAGACTAGGGCTTAAAAATACTCTAATCAATTCAAAATTTGACATTCGCTAGTTTTTCAATACGAGGATTATTGATACAAAATTTCACCCCATTCGGACAAACCCTCAAAAATCATTCCCAAAACAACCTTGCAGACTGGGGGTAAAAAATGCTTCAATCAAATCAAAACTCGATATTTGCTTATTTCTCAATACAAGGATTATTGACACAAAATTTCAACCCGTTCGGAGAAACCGTTAAAAACTACCCCCAAAACAACCTTGCAGACTGGAGCTTAAAAATACTGTGATCAAGTTAAATTTTGACAATCCCTAGTTTTTTAATACGAGGATTATTGATGCAAAATTTCAGCCCATTCGGAGAAACCCTCAAAAATCATCCCTAAAACAACTTTGCAGACTGGGGGTAAAAAATGCTCGTTAAAAACTACCCCCAAAACAACCTTGCAGACTGGAGCTTAAAAATACTCTGATCAAGTTAAATTTTGACAATCCCTAGTTTTTTAATACGAGGATTATGGATGCAAAATTTCAGCCCATTCGGAAAAACCCGCAAAAATCACCCCTAAAACAACCTTGCAGACTGGGGGTTAACAATGCTCCAATCTAGTTAAAACTCGATATTTGCTTATTTCTCAATACGAAGATTGTTAATACAAAATTTCAACCTGTTCGGAGAAACCGTTAAAAACTACCCCTAAAACAACCTTACCGACTAGGGCTTAAAAATACTCTAATCAAGTAAAAATTTGACATTAATTTATTTTTTTATTATTTTATTGTTAATTATTAATTAATTTATTAATATTTAAATTTAAAAAATATATAAATTACGAATATAGGAGTATTTGTTACAGATACGTGAATTGTGATAATTTGAGTTCATGTTTATCGCTGTTAGATAATTGTTGCTACTATGTAAGAATGCATAAGTTCGGCATTTTTTCGTCCAATCTCTCATTTTTTGTGCGTTTTACACGTCATTTTTGCTGTTAACTTGGTTCATTCAGTACATACTATATGCTGGTTTTGAGTTCTTTGAGATATAATTAAATTTTCATCATCAGTCAAAAAATACAAAGTTAGTGGTGTCCAGAAGAGAAAATTTAAAATTCAAAGGAAACAAAATCTTAAAGATATTTTAAAGGAAATTACAGACATTTTTAATTTCCGAGAAACCTAACGTAAAAAAAACGTTTTGAGAGAAAGTTTAAATTAATAATAATAGGAAGCTCAAACTTAATTTTATTTGGATTTCAAAAAGAACCCAGAAATGTGCTAATTTCTTAATTAATTATTATTAATGGGAAAACAGATAAAGATTCGTTATATTCAATACGACGCAAAATTGTCTTCATATGTAGGTCTTACAACCTTTGGATGGTGTCCACGTCCATTTCTCTGTCTGGTAAATTGTTCTTCTTAATTGTTCTTTTAAATTGGCTTCCCAGCCGTTGTTGTAAACCTTTCTACTTAGTATTCCCCAAATTTTGTTTTCGATTGTTTGCACTGGGGGCACTATGGGGGGATTACCTTTTCTTAGGTACAAAACTTATATTATTGCTTTCTAACCAATCCCTGGACATTCTAGTATAATGGCAACTTGCTAAATTTGGCCAAAATATTACATCTTCGTTATTATGGTGTTCCGATATATTGTTATGTATTGACCGCGTCACCTCTAGCACGGCCAATGAATTGTGCTGAAACGCCGGCCGGAGATATAGCCCATCAAACCAAAATTTTATCTTCAAACTTTGCCTTCGACTTAAATTTTACTTGTAATTTCTTCTATATTGTTTGTATAAAATCCATCGTTACCTTCCATCTCTGAATGGGCAAACGTAAAATATTTTTCATCGCCCAACACAACCACACGATTGTCCAAAAAATGATGAATTCTCAATAGCCGGCAACATCTAAGAATTCTTTCTAACTGCGATGCTGTATGTTTTGAACATTTAGCTCTTTTGCTGTATTTTAAGTTGTGTTTGCCTATTTCTCTAGAAACTGTTATATAGGAACTCTAAACAATCGAGCCAATCTTCTTGTTGATGTTCCAGGCTCTTGTCTTTCTTCTTAATCTTTCTAAACTTATTGTGGTATTGCTACCTGGCAGTCTTTAATTGTTCTGTATATAGTTGCGCATGTAATATATTTGGTCCAAAATATATTCACTATATTAACTGGTATATGGCTCTTTGCAACTCTATTTTGTATGACATAGTTTAAGCGTTAATTGACATAAATCTATGACATAAATTGTATAAAATGGTAAATAAGAAAGGTTGTTTGGTGACGCTGTTGCAAATGTAACTTGATTCGATTGCATTTTAAGTTAAAAAAAAGATAGGAGTATAAGGTATGTAAATTTTTCTCAAAACTCTTTTACGTACTAGGGGTGAAAGTGACATAGAATTGGAAAATCTTAGTAAAAGTAAAGACGACTACAGTTAAGACTAATCTAGTTGAGTGCATGTATTTAGAGAAATTTTAGTTGTATTGATAAATTAAATTCTTAGATGGAAATAACGATATTGATGTGAAAATGCAAGAAAAAAAATATAGAATTTGAAAATATACATGATTTTAATCTTTCCAATGGCAGTACATACCTTATTTATAAACTGTTGACACATGATGTACAAATTAACAAAAAAAAGAAGACAAATAAACGCAAAATTTAAATTAATTTAACAAAATAACAGAAACAGACCAATTAGGATATTTTCTTAATTAAAATAATAAAGAAGGCTGTTGTTGTAAACAGTGTTTTTCATCATTTGATTATAAGTTTGGCAGTTAATAAACGTTTTCACGCGAAAATAATGTTAACTCTTGCAGACGTCTCCCAAATTGTCGCTCTGTTTCTGTTATTTTGTTAAATTAAATTTAATTCTGCGTTTATTTGTCTTCTTTTTTGTTGCTAATTTATACATCATGTGTCAACAGTGAATGGTTCTTTAATAAAATAACGATCACTAGTTAAATTAGCAATTTTTAAAGTTTGGTTTTGCGAAATTTTACAGCGTGGTAGGTTTTTTGCCGGTCAGTGTATACGCATTAAAATACAGTTATAAAAGGTAACAAAACAATATTTTTCATAATTAACAATGCATATTAAGATCATTAGGTGATTAATTATTGTAGGAATTAGCTCGGTTTGCGCAAAGGTGGAGATAACACAACGACCGTAGCAACGAATCTCAACCAATTAAAAACTCAAGTAAATTTGCTGCTGCTACTTTTATATGCTTTCTTATGAAATTATTTTTGTTTTATGCCTAGTATCCCGCAAACGCTTTCGGGCACGCCACTGGAACAACCAGTTTCTCGGAGGACCTGGAAGAACCATTTATGACTCTAGTAGAAAACGCTGTACCAGGCATTTTTTCAAACAATCTTCCCTCCTCTCATTCTTGACATAATGTACTGTCTCTTTATATGTGTCTGAAATTTTTCTGCTACTTGTACTTTAAATGAATTTCAACTATCAATCATTTTTATAAGTTGTTTCAAGGCGACTAAAATTTGACATGATAATTTTTTGGGTAAAGAACTCAGCAAGTGGTAACTTTCGACTCAATTGGAGTATTTTTAAGCTCCCGTATGAAAGATTGCTTTGGGGTACTTGTTAAGAGCATATTAAAAAAGGCTGTTTTTTTGCATTATCACTTCTCGTATAGATAAAAACTAAACACCAAGTTTCGTTTTGGTAATAATGTTTTTAAGGCCCAGTCTTCAACGTTGTTTTGGGGGTAGCTTTTAACGGTTTCTCCAAACGGGTTGAAATTTTGCATCAACAATCTTCGTATTGAGAAATAAGCAAATCTCGAGTTTTGACTTGATTGAAGTATGTTTTACCCCCAGTCTAAGTCTGTCTGGGGGTAGTTTTTAAGGGTCTTTGCGAACGGGTTAAATTTTTGTGCCAACAATCTTCGTATTGAGAAATAAGCGACTGTCGAGTTTTGACTTGATTGGAGCATTTTTAATCCCCAGTCTGCAAGGTTGTTTTGGGGGTGATTTTTAAGGATTTCTCCGAACGGCTTGAAATTTTGTATCAACAATCTTTGTATTGAAAAATTAAGAAATATCGAGTTCTGACTTGATTGGAGCATTTTTAACCCCCAGTCTGCAAGGTTGTTTTAGGGGTGATTTTTGAGGGTTTCTCCGAATGGGCTGAAATTTTGCATCAATAATCGTATTAAAAAACTAGAGATTGTCAAAATTTAACTTGATCAGAGTATTTTTAAGCTGCAGTCTGCAAGGTTGTTTTGGGGGTAGTTTTTAACGGTTTCTCCGAACGGGTTGAAATTTTGTGTCAATAATCCTTGTATTGAGAAATAAGCAAATATCGAGTTTTGATTTGATTGAAGCATTTTTTACCCCCAGTCTGCAAGGTTGTTTTGGGAATGATTTTTGAGGGTTTCTCCGAATGGGGTGAAATTTTGTATCAATAATCCTCGTATTGAAAAACTAGCGAATGTCAAATTTTGAATTGATTAGAGTATTTTTAAGCCCTAGTCTGCAAGGTTGTTTTAGGGGTAGTTTTTAACGGTTTCTCCGAACGGGTTAAAATTTTGTATTAACAATCTTCGTATTGATAAATAAGCAAATATCGAATTTTAACTTGATTGGAGCATTTTTAACCCCCAGTCTGCAAGGTTGTTTTGGGGATGATTTTTGAGAGTTTCTCCGAATGGGCTGAAATTTTGCATCAATAATCCTCGTATTGAAAAACTAGCGAATGTCGAAATTTAACTTGATTGGAGTATTTTTAACCCCCAGTCTGCAAGGTTGTTTTGGGGGTGGTTTTTAAGGGTTTCTCCGAACGGGTTGAAATTTTGTACCAACAATTTTCGTATTGAGAAATAAGCAAATGTTGAGTTTCAACTTGATTGGAGCATTTTTAACCCCCAGTCTGCAAGATAAACTGTGGTCTGCAAATTAGACAGGCCCCGAGAAAAACGAATAAAACTAAATCATGTCACAATTTGTCAACAATTCAAACAAAGAATTTACATGACGTTAAATTATGCCACACTTTATCAGCGATACAAACAAATAGCTTTGAGAGTTTATATCGTGGACTGTCCCCAGCTTATCCCAAACAAACACATGATAAATAAACACAAAATGCATCCCTCGCCGCGAGAAATACGTCTCGGTGATATCCGGATGATAACTACCTAAGGAAAAAAATAATAATCCCCCGTCCCCCAGTCCACGATATTATGAATTCTATAGCACTTTCTACGGTTATTTTCCCAAAATCGGACGACGTTAGGGCAATTGACTGCCGTAAATGAACTATCAGCAATCTTGTGTGAGGAATTAAGAAGTGTTATAATGGATGAAATTTAAATTAAATCAAATTAAATGTTCTGAATCAATGCAGATATTTGAAAATCACAAAATTTTAATAAAAAAACTATGTCAATTTCATTCTAGAGCACAACAAAAATACCCATAGGGGGCGTTGTAGCACGAGCGGAGATTGGAGCTCCCGGTCGTGACTGTTCTCCCCCACGACGGTGATTCTATCTATCGCAAAGCACTGTCGCCCAGCACCTCAAGAGTGAAAAGACAAACAGGCCGTTACGGTCGCAAACTCGCAGTTGGATCTCGACTATTGGGCTAAGTCGACAGCGTTACGTCATTTCGACCGCCCCTGAATCTTATCTAACCAGCATCTTTTGTGCAGATGGCGCGATAAATCTCGCCAGCTCGACTAAGAACCGCATTCCACTTCCACCACGTATTTCTGTGTTACTTAACCTCAATTCCACATGTGTGTTAAATATACGAATCGACTATTATTTTACTGTGTACTTTGATTAATTGATCGATTGACGGTTTAGCCTTGTTCAAGGTACTTCAAATTCCAATGAAAAATCAACAAGGCTTCTATTTCATCGCAAAAAGTGCCTATTGTTAGCCATTCAAAAACATTGCGTAAGAGACAAAGACAAACAGGAAAGCTGTAAGATAAACCTGCTTAAAATTTGTTTTTGTTTTGATGATTTTGATTTGTGAAATGAGCAAAATGAATATCAACAATTCGGTGGAGATTTTGATGAACAATTTCATCCCAAGAATAGAATATTTTTATATGGAGTTCATAAAGAAAGAACCTTTTCTGAATACTATGTTTGAGGACATAGAACAAATGGGAAAAACATTTGAACATAAAGGTGTACATACAAACTGATTTGCAAAATTTTCAGCCAGGTGTTGTTACAGTTTTAGATTTTAACTCCCTACGCTAACACGAATGATGTTACAAGTCGCTATTTCATGGTGCAGTGAGAGCGTTGTGGTGACCGAATTTGAATAAAATTTTGGCGCTGAAATTAGTTAACAGCGGCGCGAAATCACACTTGAATAATTTGAATTTGAAAGAAAAAAATGCAATCAAAAAAATCGTTAAACGTAGGCAACCATATATGCACGTTAGCGCTTGCGGTAGTTCTGCATGTTTTAGAGAGCGGGCGGTAGTCGAATTGGTAGAGGAGAACGGCATGTTGAACGCACAGGGAAATTCATTATGTTTCTGTCCGGTGTAGTGGACGCATGGTGAAAAGACGCTATAAGTAGTTATGTTAAATTAGCTGGTTTAGTAGTTAATAAAAGGGAGGAAGTCTTTGTTTAACGACAATCAATCGTAACGCTGACGGCACCTAGTGTTAATACAATTTAACAATCAGGATTATTTAAATAAACCACTTATTAGGAGATTTCATCAAATTCATTTAGTCAGGATAATAATTCTTTGTTTAACAAATTACGAATGAAGTTTCTGGATGCATATACGTAAGTGTTACATGATAACACTTCTTAATTTTTCACACAAGATTGCTAAATTATCATCGTTATCATGATTACATCATTGAGGCATGTCCTCGCAACGCTAAAGATTGATTACATCACTGAGGCATGTCCTCGCAACGCTAAAGACTGATTACATCACTGACGCATGTCCTCACAGCGCTAAAGAGTGATTACATCATCGAGGTATTTCCTCGCAACGTTAAAATTTACATCATGGAGGTATTTCCTCGCAACGATAAAATTTACATCACCGAGACGCTTTTCCCTCGCAACGATGACTGGATATTTTTGTGTTTATTTATTATGTGTTTTGTTGGGTTAACCAGGTCACGGTATTTTAAACTCTCAAAGTAAATTGTTTTTAAGTAACCAATCTCTTGGACCATGACATAATTTGACATAACGTAAACTACAATATTTTTCTAATCTCACAGTTTTAACCTCAGTAATTTTCCTTTGTTGTATAATTTTCATTGGATGTAAATTTCATGCTCTGCAGTTTTAACCTCATATAATATTTTTTTGCACCAGATCTTTTGTTTTTCATAAATTTTTGCTAGTTTTGTTTTGTAAATATTTTGTTGATGAAAGTTTCTATCATATAAATTATTTGGTGTCCAATTTTAATCTCACATAAGATTTATTTGTTGTTTAAAATCCCACAAGATTGTATGGCAAATTTAAATGTTGTTTATTGCTCTTTTGAAACTTTAACATTTGTTCAGTTGTTGTTAATATCTGAGTTATAATAGATTGAACATTTAAAATGGAATTGAGGTTGAATAATACAGAAAACATGGCAGAAGCGAAGTGCGGTTCTTAGTCGAGCTGGCGAGATCTATCGCGCCACCTGCACAAAGGGTACAGGTTTGGATATATTCAGGGGCGGTCGCGACGTTGTAGCGCTGTCGGCTTCTCTTCTTAGCCGAGACCCAACTGCGGCCTAGTGTCTGACGGCATGTTCGTCCTAGACATGTGTAACGTGCTGTTTGGGTAGGCTTTGCGATAGATAGAATCACCGTCGAGGGGGGAGAACAGCCCAGACCGGTAGCCCCAAACTCCGCTTCTGCTAGAACGCCCCAGGGGTAGTTTTGTTGTGCTCCTGTTAACTGACTGCCGTAACTTTAAATTTGACGTCACGCGCCCGTAATAATTTGTGCATTTGCATTCAGTTACTTTAATTCAGATTTTGCTTTGGTTTTATTAAATTTGTGATATTCAAATATTTGCATTGATTCAAAACATAAACGTAGGGTTTTTGTACTTGTTTGGTTTTCATATGTGTATCAATTCGCGAGTGTCTTTTTCTCTCGTATTTTTAAGGTGTTTCGTTTGAAATGTAATACGTCGGTGAATATAGGATAAGGGGTTTTTGGGGCTGAGGAGTGAATGCTCGCAGCTCTTTTCCTCCTAGAGAGGGGGTGCGAATTTTAGCCCCCTCCCAAAAATTGTGTCTATTATTTCTTGCGCTCTCTACTCGCACGCAATGTATGCTCACTTGTATGAAAAAACGTCTTCCCGCCATGTTTAAAAAAAAAAAACACAACGTAGGTTCCTTTTTGTTAGACAATCAGAGCCAAGCCCAACTTTCAAACGTTTTCAAGTGTCAATTTAAGGCGGGAAGTTTGGGTTATCACAGCGTAATTTAAATAATTCAATTTTTTCTTCCCAGATTTTTGATCCATTTTATTTTTTTTTTTCAGGCATGAAATAACATTGTGATAATTAATATACATTTATTTTTGTATAAAAATACAATAGACTAAACATAAATGAAAACAAATTAAATAAAATTCAACAACAAAACTTGTAAAACTAGTGGGCAGTTCATAAATTCAAAATAAACACAAAACAAAAATAAATCATCCTCATAAAACAGCGAAGGTCTTCTGCATTCTGCATTTGGCCAAAAGTTCACATGAAAAAGAAAAGACAAAATTAGAATTGCACAATTAATTAATACAACACATTTATCAATAACTGAGTTTAACAGAAAACGAAATTTAATAAAAAAACACCCCGCAACATATGCACTTGCTTGATTTTTTACTATGGCTGGGTTGTCGAAACAATCACTAATGTCCTATTCCTCTTCGAAATTTAAATTGTTTAAATTAAGATTATCATGCTCTGCCGAAAAATTGTGTTCTGTTAAATAATTCACAAGATCGCTTAAAGCTTTGCAATGATCTTCCTCACAATTGCTACTTTTAGAAGTAGGAGAACTGAAATTATGAAGGATTATTTCATTCACCTCATTTTCACACTTCTCCATGACAGCATTGTTGCTGTTGGTTGTCAGTTGTCACTTTGCTGCCATATTAGTAGCTCATGCGCACTACAACCACAACATCCCCACTTTCATGGTGCAACAATTGTCAGCGAAGATTCGAAGTCACAAACACACGAATACAAGTTTCATTCCGGTGACTCCAGTGAGTATGATATTGGTTGTTCTGTGAGTAGGATGTCACAACCTCTCCACAGCCACAGTGGACCCCACAACGGGGCAAGCCGGCTTGGGAGTCTTCAGTCCTCCACACAGTGCCTTTGCGGGTAGCCTACGACCAACATCTGCTCAGCCGAACTGCTAGCCATCCTTAAAGCACTACAACTCACCGAACACGTGAACACAGGTGAACTTCTCATCTCCATTGACTCCCTCTCCGCCATCCAAAGTCTACATTGCCTTGGCTACCCCCCAAAAGCCTCGCCATTGCCACTCATAATCAAAAACAAAACTAGCCCAGCCTTCCTATACAAGATCAGAGCACCAATATTTCCCATGACCAGTTACCATAACCTAAAACTGTCAATTTTGCAGGGATAGCACACCTAGAATCAAAGGTATCACAAAGGGCACGAACCTGGATGTAAGTGTCTTGCAGCGAAGGCCATCTCATCAGGGAAAAGTGGAAGAAGAAAATAACTTCCCTTTTCGTGTTGTCTTCTAGTCATTTCGTAGAAAGCAGCGGTTGTTTTAACGCACCATGGACTACTACCAACAGAACTGGGATCATAAACTGGATAATTCCACGTATGAAGGTTTGTGTATGGCCATCCCAAAAATTATAAAGGCAACTATAACGGGAGAGCTACCCCAACAAGCCCTCCCGAAGGATGTTTCCACCGTGGACGTGCTGTCGCATATCACCGTGGCGATGGGGAAGGTCTTTATCGCGTTCGTTTTGACGATGGTAACCCAGATTCAGATGAACATTTCAGTAAGTAACACTTTCATTAAATAAATCTAATGTTCGTTAAATTGAGAAAAGCATCAAGTAGTTCATAGGTTTTTTGTGCTTTCAGACATTTAACCCCAAAATTTAATAAATGACAGCTGACAGCGTAGAATGGAAATAATGTAACCTAACCTCACTTTTTCTTGTATTAACAACACTCCTAAATCGTGCTCCCAAAGGTACTGATTGGGTGATTGGGCGCACTGGCGAGCAACATAATTTGTGATCGAGTCACCCTTGGAAAACATTTTGTATGTCAGTAATCACCAAAGGGCGGCGGCTTTGGCGTTAAGAACCATTAAGAACTGTGCAGACCACTACATTGTATTTGGATCGCAGTTTTGTAGCTTGTTTTTCTACTTATTGCACATCAAGTGTTCAATAACAAACATTAGCATCGCCTCAAAAATATGAAATTAAACGAGATTTAGAGGTCTATTTTGTAACTCTTAACGATCTCGCTAGAGCATCGTTAACTTACGATAATCGTTCCCATAACGATTTTGGGACTGATAGCGATTTTGTAACATCTATCGTCTCGTTACATAGCGATCGTATCGTTAGAATGTCATCGTTCCGGAACGATAGGTTTCAGCTCACCGTTAGAAGTGTCAGAACACGTTAGAAAAGTATTTATACAATGAAGAGGAACGTTTTGGTGCAAATATGGGTAGAGAAGGTAAATGTAAGTAATTAATGTATGTTTGGATTAGGTTGATAACTTATTATATATTTTTTTTACTGCAGAGACAGAATGAGAAATTTGTCTCGGGTCTTAAGAGATGTAAACGACCCCTTGATCGTTCGAGAAGAAACCTTTAGGAAGACCTACCAACTGTAATGGGAAGCGGCGAGAGACACATTTCCAGAAATACTGCCGCAGAGTTCTGTATTATTCACCAGAAGTTGCAGGAAAAATTATATACTCATGTGCTATTTCACACATCTTACGCATAAGAAATATCGAAAATGACGAGATCAATATTGTCTATGACAAGGAGAACGATAATAATGAAGAACTTGAATATGAAGAACACAATTTACTACATGAATGGCATATCACAAGAAATAATTTAATAATACAGCATTTTCAATAATGTATTTATTATTTTTTTTACAACATAATGAAATTATTAAACAGTTCCTCTTTCATATAGTCTTAAATTTCAGGCCTTCTTTCAAACATTGAATTTCCAATCTACATATCTCTGGAACACACAGTGACGTTTACTTACCAGGCAGTACATTGTAATTAGAGTGCCCTATGTTATATTCTTGATGTACTAAAAAACACAGAGGTTATGGTTTATTGTGTAACAGTATTTATAAAGATTAAACATCTCAGTTCTCATAATTGATTGATCATGATTCATGACTAAACAAGATGTTCACTTTGTCTTAAACAAAGTGTTGATGTAAGCAGAATAATTGCTAATAGTTGTACGATAAATTATAGTAAAGTACACATTTTTAAAAAGAGTGTTCGGGCGATTAATTAATTACACATACCTCTCTGAACTGCTGAACACTTTTTTGTGATCCTCCCACAGAATTTAGTTTTGCTACCAACCCTTCCCATATCTTTTCTAAAAGATCTGGCTTGTCCGCTACGAACTTTTGGGCCCTAAAATCAACATTACCTTCTAACTCCTCCACATATAACTCATGTTGCTGTTGGGTAATACGCTGGGCCCCTTTACGTTTTTCCATTGCTCCCGTGAACGTATTGTAAACTGAATTTCGTGTTAGTGTGATTATTTTGATGTTTTTCTTTTATAATTATTGTTTACTTACATGTTATAAGTTCACAAATTTGTCCAAACATCAATCAGTAGCAAAACAAATGTCACATGTCACAACAGAGAACAACGTAATCTAGACGCGACACAAATCTAAATACTACCCATTTTAAAAACATTAGATTCATCGTTCCGCTAACGATTTCAAAACTTTACGATTACGATAGTGTTTATAAAATTGGAAATTTGTACAATCTCGCTAAACTGATTTTACGATTGCTTCTAACGATTATCGTTTGGGAACGAGATCGTTCTGGAGCGATAAATTACAAAATAGACCCCTTAGAGTCTCAATCGCATACAAATAAGAGTAATCCACCTTCTTGCTCTATGGTAGACACTTTTAACGAGGAACTGTACGAAACATTTGTAGCAGCAACCATCATCCCTTTCGCAAAAATTAATAACCCAAAATTGAAACACTGTGATAACCCAAACTTCCCGCCTTTAAACTGACCTTTTTTTGGCTTTGGCTGTGATCGTCTAACAAATGGGAACCTACGTTGTGTTTTTTTTTTTGAAAAGTGGCGGGAAGACGTTCTTTCATACAAGTGAACATACATTGCGTGTGAATCGAGAGCGCAAGAAATAATAGACACATTTTTTTTTTGGAGGGGCTAAAATGGCACCCCTCTCAGGAGGAAAGAATCTACGAGGATTCACTCCTCAGCCCCTATCGTATATTCACGGACATATTACAGTTCAAATGACAGACCTTAAAAATATGAAAGAAAAGATACTCGCGAATTGACAGACATACACATATGAAAAACGAACAAACGCAAAATCCTATACATCTGTTTGGAATCAATGCAAATATTTGAATATCACAAATTTAATAAAAACAAAGCAAAATCTGAATTAAAGTAACGGGATGCAAATACACAAGTTATTTCGGGCGTGTGGCGTCAGATTTTAAAGTTACGGCAGTTAACAGGAGCACAACAAAAGTACCCCTGAGGCGTTCTAGCAGAAGCGGAGTTTGGGGCTACCGGTCGGGGCTGTTCTGCCCCCACGACGGTGATTCTATCTATCGCAACGCCTACCCAAACAGCACGTTACACATCTCTAGGACGAACATGCCGTCCGAAACTAGGCAATTACGGTCGCCAGACCCGTAGTTGGATCTCGGCTAAGGACAAGCCGAGAACGTTGCAACATCGGCGGCCGCCCCTGAATCCATCCAAACCTGCGGACTTGTACAGGTGACACGATGAATCTCGCCAGCTCGACTATTAACGACAACTGAACAAATGTTATAGTTTCAAAAGACCACTAAACAACATTTCAATTCGCCATACAATCTTGTGAAATTTTAAACAACAAATAATTCCTATGTGAGATTGAAATTGGACATCAAACAATTTATATGATCAACAAAATATTTAGAAAACAAAACTAGCAAAAATTTATGAAAAACAAAAGATCTGGTGTGAAATAAACTTGTGCAAATAAAAATATTATGTGAGGTTAAAACTGCAGAGCATGAAATTTACGTCGAATGAAAATTATACAACAAAGGAAAAGTACTGAGGTTAAAACCGTGAGATTAGAGAAATATTGTATGAGGTGAAAAATTGCAAAGTTAACAAAATGTACATGAGATATTATAATATTTGCCACACTTTATCAACGATTCAAATTAGTTTGAATTTGAACTCTTAGGAGTTTACATTATGTTAAATTATGTCATGATCTAAGTGATTGGTTACTTAAAAAAAAACAATTTACTTTGAGAATTTAAGTTACCGCGAACTGGTTACCCCAACAAAACACAATAAACAGACACAAAAATATCCAATCATCGTTGCGAGGAAAAAGCGTCTCGGTGATGTAATTTTTTTTTATCGTTGCGAGGGAATACCTCGATGATGTATATTTTGGCGTTGCGAGGAATGAGCCTCGTTGAAGTAATCAATCTGTAGCGTTGTGAGGGCAAGCTTCGATGATGTAATCAATCTGTAGCGTTGTGAGGGCAAGCCTCGATGATGTAATCATGATAACGACGGTAATAACGATGATAACCGCCTAAGGGAAGAAATTATTTAACCCCTCGACAGTACGCAGTATAATGAATTTTGTTTAACTGCCGTAAATGAAATATTAGAAATCTTGCGTGAAGAATTATGAAGTGTTATAATGTAACACTTACGCATATGCATCCAGAAACTTATTCATAATTGAACAACAAAGTTATTATCCTGACTAAGTGAATTTCATGAAAAATAAAACAAATTTACAGCACTTGCTCCGCGTTGAAAGATCGCATGTTTTTCCGATTAAAAGGCCGCAAGAATTGGGGAAAACTGTATCGTTTAGAAGTTACGATTGATTGCCGTTAAACAAAGGCTTCCTCCCTTTTATTAACTACCAAAGCAACTAATTTAAACTAGCTCTTACCACGTGTTTACATTGACATGCCGCCCTCTGTCTCTACCAAGCCGCCCTCTAACTAAATATGCAGAACTAACCCCTAAGTGCTACGTGCCTATTTTTAACGATTTCTTTTTTTGTGATTGAATTTTTTTCTCTTTCAAATTCAAATTATTCAAATGTGATTTCGGGCCTCTGTTAATTAATTTCAGCGCGAAAATTTTGATTTAAATTCGGTCACCACAACACTTTCTTGAAAAATACACCCAGAAACATACCAGACGATGCGCAAAGTATTATTAAGGGCAAAAACACCATTATCAAACCAAACATCGAATATGATTTCAGCCTCATTGATCAAAAATGTCAAAATTTATCGAAAACTATAGTTTATTAACAATCTGAAATTTTAAAGTTGTATGACGCTTTGGCAAAACTTCAAAGTACTGTGATAACCCAAAGTTCCCGCCTTAAATTGATACTTGAAAAAGTTTGAAGGGCCCGAGAAAAAAAAAATCAAAATTTGACTTTGGCTGTGACCGTCTAACAAATGGAACCTACGTTGTTTTTTTCTGTGGCGGGAAGACGTTCTTTCATACAAGTGAGCATATACTGCGTGTGAGTCGAGAGCGCAAGAAATAATAGACAAAATTTTTGGGAGGGGGGCTAGACTCGCACCCCTCTCCAAGAGGAAAAGAAGCCACGAGCAAAGGGGACCGGGACGTGCCCTTCCGGCGGCCCAGGAGGGCCGGGCCACCATTCCTTCCCATCCCCAAAAACCCCTCAGGGTTTTATTAATCCACATACTACATGTCAAATGAAACACCTTAAAATTATGAAAGAAAAGACACTCGCGAATTGACAGACATACACATTTGAAAAACGAACTAACGCAAAATCCTATACATCTGTTTGGAATCAATGCAAATATTTAAATATCACAAATTTAATAAAAACAAAGCAAAATCTGAATTAAAGTAACTGCATGCAAATGCAAAAGTTATTACGGGCATGTACGTCAAATTTAAAGTTACGGCCGTCACAAGAGCACGACAAAAATACCCATAGGGCGTTCTAGCACAAGCGGACTTTGTGGCTACCGGTTCGGGCTGGTCTCCCCCGCCACGGTGTACAAAGCTTGCAGCCCTTGTGCAGGTGGCGCGATAAATCCCGCTAGCTCCCACTAGGAACCGCGCCCCCCGCTTCTGCTACGTGTTCGGTGTTATTTAACCTCAATTCCATTTTAAATGTTCAATTTCGTTGAACTCTGATATTAACAACAACTGAACAAGTGTCAAAGTTTCAAAGGGCAATAAACAACATTTAAATTCGCTATACGATCTTGTGAAATTTTAAACGACAATTAATTCTTATGTGAGATTAAAATTGGACATCAAATAATTAATGCGATGGAAACATTCATCAACAAAATATTTACAAAACATATCTGCTGTGAAATAAACTTGTGCAAAGAAAAATGTTATGTGAGGTTAAAACTGCAGAGCATGAAATTTACATTCAACTAAAATTATACAACAAAGAAAATTACTGAGGTTAAAATTGTGAGATAGAGAAATATTCTATGAGGTGAAAAATTGCAAAGTTAACAAAATTTACATGAGATTAATGCTTGCCACACTTAATCAACGATTCAAACAAAGAGTTTACGTTATGTCAAATTATGTCATGGTTACCTAAAAACAATTTACTTTGAGAGTTTAAAATACCGTAAACTGGTTACCCCAACAAAACACATAATAAATAAACACAAAAATATCCAGTCATCGTTGCGAGGAAAAAGCGTCTCGGTGATGTAAATTTTATCGTTGCGAAGAAATACCTCGATGATGTAAATTTTATCGTTGCGAAGAAACGCCTCGATGATGTAAATTTTAACGTTGCGAGGAAATACCTCGATGATGTAATCAATCTTTAGCGCTGTGAGGACATGCGTAAGTGATGTAATCAGTCTTTAGCGTCGCGAGGACATGCCTCAGTGATGTAATCAATCTTTAGCGTGTCGAGGACATGCCTCAGTGATGTGGTCATGATAACTATGATAACAACGATGAGAACCGCCTAAGGGAAGAAATTATTTTAACACCCCCTCAGTTCACGATACGAATTAGTTAATTTAACTGCCGTTAGCAATATTGTGTGAAGAATTATGTAAGAAGAGTTATAATGTAACACTTACGTACATGCATCCAGAAACTTATTTATAACATGTTAAATAAAGAATTGTTGTCCTGACTAAGTGAATTTCATGAAATCTTCTAGCAAGTGGTGTATTTAAATTATCTTGGTTGTTAAATCGTGTTAACACTAACTGAGGAACTAACTTGATTGGCGAATTTACAAACAAAACAAATCTACACCACGTTGGTCCCGAAAATTAACACTTTTCAGATTAAAAAATCGCAAGAATTAGCCGCAATTCTGAATCTGCAAAACCGAATGTTTTACAGTTATGATAAGCATGATAAATGTTAATAATGTGACAGAAAATAAAAAAATAGCTTGTTGGTTTTCATACAACTTGTCAAAATTTACCGGGACACTTTCAAAGTTAAAAAAAAAGTGAAATAGGCCAAAAGATTTGTAATCGAGTTTTGCTTGGAAAATTTGCAGGTGCTGCCTGTTGTCAGATTTTGAGAATGAATGAAAAATCCAACCAAGATTTGTAGATTTCTTTGTCGTGTGGCTAGATTTTGTTTCAGTGTTCAGAAGCCACCATTCCCATTCGTCCTAGAATTGATGTCTTTCGCCTGAAGAACGTGACCGTAGATATCGGAAAGAAAGTCCTCAAGTTCATTTGCGAAGTATATCATACAAATTTTACTTTGGAGCCAGGAGAACGCGTTAGTATTATAAGAGGTTAGAGGATTACATTTAATTGTGTGATTACATTTATTGTTGCAGAATTGTAAGGTGTTGAACGAGGCAGATGAAATATATGGGTCATGGACATACGTCGGCTGGGTGTTCGGGGTGCTTGTGACGCTAGCTATACTAACATGTATGTGGTTCTACCATAAAAAGAAATGGAACCCTTGTAGAAATCTACGAATGGTTAGTAACGTCACGTCCAATAATAAATACATTACCACTTTCGCGTATTCCAGATTTCGATTTCCATTGTCAATAAAAAGGGGGAACGGAATAATTCCTTGGTGCTCAATAACTACTACAACCTTCCAGAGTATACGAACAACGCCGTCACTGAATTGGAACGACTGGATAACAACATACAGAAAGGTGAACTCAAAACTCCAACCGGAAAATTCGTCATCGCCATGAGGCCCCTCAAAGAAAACGCGAATTCCAAAACCCAAAGCGATTTCTACCAACAAATGCAGGTGAATTCCGCCTTGAAACATCCCTACGTTATTTCACTGCTGGGGGTCGTGGTGGAGCAGCCGTTGTCTATGTTGTTCGAATTTACGTCACAGGTTGGTGGCGGTTTTTTTGCGTTTGTGGTGGTAAAATTTCCGTTATAGGGCAACCTTCACGAATTCCTCATCGCGAATTCACCCAGCAAGGGTAAAAGTTTGACGCTGAACCAATTTCTGGACCTAGGAAGCCAAATCAGTCAAGGCATGCAGTACTTATGTGACAACCATTACATATACACGGATCTAGCTGCTAGGAATTGTTGGGTTTTCGGCGATTTGGTGGTAAAGATTGGCACTTTCGAGCTCGAGAGGGACCAGTATCGTGGCGATTATTACGAGTGAGTAAATTTATCTTATCACCCCCACCAACACAACGATGACGTCATCTCAAAATCAGTTCCGGAGTATCGCTTCTTCCGGTGCGCTGGTTGCCGTCCGAGTGCATCACCTCCGGCAAGTTCACCTGCGAGACCAACGTGTGGTCGTTCGGCGTCACCCTCTGGGAGATCTTCAGCTACGGCAAGCAGCCCCATCATGGGTATGACGACCAGGAGGCCATCGCCAGGATCCACTCGCACAAGCTGCTGCCGTGTCCAGACACTTCCCCCGACTATTGTTACGGTCTCATGGTTGAGTGCTGGGCGGGACAGCCCAAGCGACGCCCCGATTTCGCCGAGATCTGCCAGCGTCTGCAAATGTGGAAGCAGAGCAAAACGTCCTAAGTCGAGATCGAAACGTCACGTCCAAGACCATTTCGATTAATATATCGAATTTCCATTACGTAGTTTTATTGTAGGGGTTAATCTAAATCGAATTTTTGTACAGCGCAACATGTGTTCATTCTTCGTTACCGTAACATGTTCATGTGTATGTGTGTGTGTATTTATAAAATGGTTGTGCCATACTTATAATAATAGTTATTTACATTCCAAGCGCCGAAAGTATCGAGTAGCATAACGAGCGAGTAGTGCTACTCGGCTTTGGCGTGAGTAATTTACATAATTTTTTGTACCGTTTTCCTACAATTAAATTTTTTAAAAATAATAATTTTAGTAATATTACTAGTCCAATGTTCGTATTTAGGTTGGCATTAGCATTGTCACTAATAACACAGTATATCATACAATAAAGACACCTTTTGAAAGGTACATAAGAAAAACACAAATTTGAACACATGTATATGATGCAAACGTGTGCAGATAAAATATTACGTGAGGTTAAAACTGCACAGCACAAAAATTTACGTTCAATTTAAATTATACAAAAAAGAAAATTTCTGAAGTTAAAATTGTGGGATTGAGAAATATTGTCTGGGGTGAAAATTGCAAAGTTAACAAACAAATTTACCTGAGATTAATATTTGCCACACTTTATCAATGATTCAAACAAAGAGTTTACATTATGTTAAATTATGTTTTAATCCAAGTGATTGGTTACTTAAAACAATTAGCTTTGAGACTTTGTAATATCGTGACCTGCTTACCCCAAACAAAACACATGATAAATAAACACAAAAATATCCAGTCAGCGTTACGAGGAATAAGCGTCTCGGTGATGTAATTTTTTAGCGTTGCGAGGAAATGCCTCGGTGATGTAATTTTTAACGTTGCGAGGAAATGCCTCGGCGATGTAATCAATCTTTAACGTTGCGAGGAAAAGCTTCAGTGATATAATCTTTAACGTTGCGAGGAAATGCCTCGATGATGTAATGATGATAACGATGATAATAAAGATGATAACTGCCTAAGGGAAGAAATTATACTAACCCCCCGCCAGTTCACGATATTATGAATTTTGTTAATTTAACTGCCGTTAATGAAGTATTAGCAATTTTGTGTAAAGAATTAAAAAGTATTATAATGTAACACGTACGTAGTAACATCCAGAAACTTATTTATGGTTAGACAAACAAAATCAAACTAGTCCTGAGTAAATGTCTGTTATATTGTGTTAGCACCAGTTAACGATTAAAATCCAAACATGAACTGTGAATTTACAAAAAATGAATTAAAATTACACGTGTCGGCGTCGGACACAAATTCACATTTTCTGATTAGAAACCGCAAGAATTAGCTGCGCGTGTTGGGGAAAACCGTGGCGGTATCGTTACGAAGAATTAAACGTGCACAAGGCCTATGTTTAACGATTTTTTTTCAAATTCAAATTATTCAAATCTAAAGAAAAATGTGAAGAAAAGAGAAAGTTTCACCACAACGTCATATCTTTTCTTTTGCATTCTTGAAAACAATCTTAACAACGCTAACCTCAACGTGATTTTATACGTCAGAATAGCGAGTGACAGAATCGTTACTAAAATAAATTACTAAAATCCACGTCGACAATTCAAAATCTACAGCTAGTACCTGCTAAGATAAAACTGATTTTGGCAAATGACATACCCTCTAAGAAAAGAGAGGGTGGGTGGATGGGGATAGTACCTGATGGGATAAGACCAATTTTGGCAAATGAGATACCCTCTAAAAAAAGAGAGGGTGGGTGGGCGGCACTAGTACCTACTAAGATAAAACTGATTTTGGCAAATCACATACCCTCTAAGAAGAGAGAGGGTGGGTGGGGCTAGTACCTTCTAAGATAAAACTCGTTTTGGCAAATAACATAGGTCCCTCTAAGAAAAGAGAGGGTATCTCATTTGCCAAAATCAGTTACCTATATACTAGCCCCACCTACCCCCCCTCTTTTTTCTTGAGTTTACAGGAGGGCATTCTTTTTATTTGTTATATTTGCGAAAAAATCGAAGAAAGTAAACCATGATAAGCTCTTCAAATATCATTTTAACGACTTTCAGATGTATTTTTCTATGAATTGCATTTTGCATTTCTCTGGATAATAAGACTGGAATTTGGTTTAAATTCATGGTACTCTGTTATTACATAGTAAAAACTAAAATCTATAAATATCACTCCGTTCTTCTGGTGTATTGTGTAAGAGTTTGAAAGATTTTGGGGGCTCCTGATAATTTTGAAAGAGCTTGAAGTAATCTTGGGTTCCCCTAGTTGTTTATTAATGTCAAAAATGTTTGGTACTGCTTGTGTTTTGTTCAAAGTTTGTTGAATGTTCATGGTGGCTTTATTTTTAAAAGAACTTGAAATAATCTGTGGGGGTCTCTGGTGTTTTCTTTCTGCAATTATTTGAAAAGAACTTGAGACCTCCACATGTTTTAATTTTGAAAGAGTTTAAAAGAATCTTGGAATTCCCTATATATTTTTTTAATATGAAACAATCTTGGAGACTCCTCGTGTTTTATTTTTGAAAAAAAAAAAATTGAAAAGATCTTTGGATCTCCTTTCGCTTCATTTTTTTTTAAGGTGAAGGAATCTTGGGGATTGGGAATGTTCCAGAGTTTGAAGGAATCTTGAACTTTCTTAATGTTTTTTTAGGACTTGAAGTTTTGTTTTTGAAAGAGTCTTTTTTTAAGAATGTAAAAGGATCTTGCAGTCACATAGTGTTTTTTACGTCAAAGACCCGTCGATGTTCTTGATGGTTCTATTTTTGAAAGAACTTGAAATAATCTCGAGGGTCCTTGATATTTTCTTTTTGAAAGAGTTTGGAAAGATTGTGAAAGAATTTTAGAGGCCCCTAGGGTCTTTTTTTAAGATTATGAATTTAGAACTTCTTGTGTTTTATTTTTGAAGGAAGTTCGAAACATCTTGAAGGTTTTTTTTGTTTTTAGAGGATTTGAAAGAATTTTTTTAAGAATATCAAAGAATCTTGAGGTCCTATGGTGTTTTTTTGTGTCAAGGATCCTTGAAGGTTTTTGATTTTATTTTTTAAAGAACTTGAAATAAAATCGATGCTTTGTTTTTGAAAGTATTGAAATGAACTTGAGGGACCCTTGTGTTTTGCTTTTGCTAGAGTTTGAAAGAATCTTGGGATTCTCTAGTGTCTTTTTTCATCTTCGATGTCTCGTAACGTTTTGTTTTTGAAAGAATTTGAAAATATCTTGAGAGCTCCTAGTGTTTCGTCTTATGAAAGAGTTTGAGCAAATTTTAAGGACGTCTAGTGTCTATTTTAACGAATGTTTGAAAGAATTTCAAAAGATCTTGGCGGTTCCTTTTTTGTTTAAGACAGTTTGAAAGAATGTTAAGGGTCCCTGGTGTTTTTTTGACTTTAAACAGAGATTGTCCATCAAAAAAAAAAAATCCACAGGCATAAAAATAATTGTTTCTTTCACTAGTTTTGCTTACAATTGGCGGAGGCGCCGGGGCATGAAATGTACTACATATACTGGATTCGAGATTGGTAAGACTCGGGTAAGAGAATCGGCTGTAACACCGTCCGAACTATCATATAAAAAGTTGGGGTTTTGGAGTTCCAATATAAAATATTTTTTCTCCAACCGACACAACAGTATGATATTGTTCAACCGTCAACCGTCTGTAAGACTGACCATTGAGACTTACGGTCCCGTTACTAGGACAAAATTTGGCTACAGTTTCCGCTAAGACTACAAATAGTACCTTATAATCCTAACAAAAAAAATATTTAATTTTTTTTCAAAAAAATAGAGAATGAAATCTGAAATTGTTTATTTTTATTAATATTAAATGTACAATTTGAACAACTGTGAAAAATAAATAAGCTCTCAAAACTAGAATTTGTGTCATTCTTGGAATAGTCCACAATATTTTCATTAATTATTAACTTACTGACAGCAATATTGGAGGATTGTATTTATGGAATAAATGATGATTAAAATAAATCATCGATGCCGGCGATCCAGCGCGTCATGATTACATTTGTGGCGGCACAATAATAGCTGGGTAAGCGAAGTAAAGATCAGCCGATCTGTAGCCTAGTGGTCAAGCCACCTGCCCGGCAAGCGGGATATGTGCGGTTCGGTTCCGACGTGTTTTTTCAGAGATATAGAGAAGGAGAATGAGCTTAGACTTCTGCGCATAGGTACACTATGGGTTATCAGTTACCCTTAAAGTTTTGTTTACCTATGAGGTTACGACGTTGTTGAACCAGTTGTAATTTGGAGTTAAAATTATTACTTAATTTGTTTTACCGTTAGTGCACGTGTGAACGTGCTTGTTAGTGTTAAAGGACATTATTATTGACAACAAACATGTCTTGTACAGTTTCTCACTGTAAAAATTGTGAACGATTTCGTTCAGAAGGTGTATGTTTTCTTCATTATCTTATTAAAATCGAATACGTAGGTATTTATAATTAATAACAATTGGTTATTGCAATACTATGTGATCAATATTTATTATATCTAATTTTAGGTTTCCGAAAGATCGAGAACTTTTAAACAAGTGGCTGATTGTTGTGAAAAAAGATGACAGCTTCAAACTGACTAAGTATAAGCTGGTGTGCTCAGATCATTTCACAACAACTGATTTCATTGTTGTAAATGAGAGAAAACGATTGAAATCAAACTCAATTCCAAGTGTGAATTTAGATGAAAGTGTAGAAGCTTCTTCAACTTCAAAGAGTACTGTGACTGCTACTTCAGCTGATATTTGAGAAGATTCTCCATCGATTATACCTCAAGGTGTAAAGAGGGCATTAATGTTTGAATATTTTATCATATTGAATTTTTACTACTGTTAATAATTACTATTTAGTGCTGCGCAGAGATACCATGGAAAAAGTAGTAGCAGTACAAGTGGAAGTAAAAGCAAGAACTCAAAAAGTAGTTTTGACAGTAGAGAAGGTGATAAGCTGGCGTTACATAAAGAAACTACATGAAGAAGAATTCCTAAATGTTGCAAACAATAAATTGAAAAAGGCACATTTGGAGTGGCGGCAACATAAAATGAAAGTAAGTTGTTTTCCTGACAATATTCCTTATTGACATTAATAATTAAGTTCTATTATAGGTGAGTTTAGCAGCACAAACTCTTAGCAAGAGTTGCGGATGCACTTGAATTTTTAAAAGATCTCGGTATTGGTGACTTTCAAGGTTGTGAAGCAACAATAGAATTCATCAGAAGGATAGATTCTTTATTTGATATTCTCAATTCCCGAAGTGTATGTGCTAAGAATTTTAAGGCACCTTTGAGAGAAAACAATGAAGAAATCTGGGGTCCATTTCTCATCGACACCAAAGAGTATCTTCTGAATTTGAAGGATGTCACTGGCAGGCCTTTGTGGTGCAAAAATTTTGCAACTCACCGATAAACTTCCAAACGATGAACAATTTTTTAAAACTTTCGGCATGCCAGCATTCTTTTTCTAATTTAGAGAACCCACGCACTCGAGACGGCGGCCATCGATGAAGGCCATTTATATATTCTTATTAAACAAATAATTAATGCCTACATGTAAATAAGAATGTTTAATTTGAGCAAAAGACTTTCATGTCTTGCTCAAGGCACTTCTGTTAGACATGTGTACACATAATTGGTACTGTTTTCGCATCAATAAATATATTTAAGTATAATTATGTTTATTTATTTATGTAAGGTGGAATATATTTTAGTTGTAATTTATTAGGTGATTTTAATTAATGATTTTATACTTCCCGCCCAATAATCAAGCAATTGTCTAGGGATATCAAGTTCTGTTAGTGATTTGTGATTATGTTGGCAACAGTCAACTGATAAAATGGCTGCTTTCAATTTTACCAAAGGATTTTGTTTCTGCGCATATCTCTGGTCTTTCTTTGCTTACCTACAGATTGACATCAGTTTATCTCTCTCCCTTTCTACAGCGCGTCGTTACATGCCTATCTTCAGACTCAGTTCAAACCGGTGTCGGTGTCGGTGTCGGTACGGAAAAACGTTACCTCGTAGCTCGAACTCTACATCCTAGTCCGGCGCGCGTCGTATACGTGTTCTATAATACGAAAAGAAAGGAGTTAAAACTCCAAAAAATATCATATGTTATTCGGATTAGAATTGTGCAGAAATATAAACATTACACAATAAAATAGGCAATGGACACAACGTGACTTCTTACACTTGAATTTATTAATTTTTTGAAGATCATAAAATCATACTATAGGTGATATAACCTCCACATTCAATACTTACTTCAGGTAAACTACAAATAAAACTCCCACCATTGGTGCACCTCCCAACTCTTTATTTCAACAGAACATTACATTTCTACTCTTAAACTACATCCATAACAATAAAAAATTACTTACTCTAACACTCGCAACACGACAAAACTTAAGCCTTCTTCTGGCTGGCCTTCTTCAGATGATTCTTACTCTGCAGGTGTTGTTTAAACTGCATCTCCGAATTAGACGAGCAATTGCAAACCTGACAATAGTACTGCCCTGACGGCGTCCTGTAAACAGAACAATCGCCCTTATCCGCATCAGCTAACAAAACACTCGTCAAAATATTGTCATTCGGGCCCGCGACAATGCCACTCTCTAGTTGCTGCTGTTTCACTTTCTTCCGATGCTTCTGGCCGTTGTAGTGGCATTCGAGCTGTTCCTGGCAGGTGGTGGTGATGTTGCAGAGCTCGCACCTGAATCCTGGGGCGGGCGGTGGCGGCGGCTCCGTGCGAAAATCCTGGCCGAAGGTGTCGTCGACGCTGGGGTCATTGGCAGGTCGAGCGTGGCTGGAACTATGGGATTTATCAGAGGGTGTGTGAGTCGGGGCTCCTCTCCTTACCCTTCTCTCACCCATTTGCCGGTGGGGTCGTAGTGGCCTTTACCGGCGGGGGCCTTCATGCCGAGGGTCGCTCTGAAAGAATAAGAGTGTCAAAAATACGCGTTTTATGTGGTAAGTGGGCCGTTTTAGATGCTCCTTACCATTGAGGACAAGATAATTATTAATAAAGGCCATTTCAACACAAACGAAAAACTTCATAGGAAATATGTATCTTATGAACAGAAAAAACTCATTTATGGTACTTGTAGTTTAAGACAAATAGCGATAATATTTATCAACCTGTAGACGTGACAGTCAAACAGAAACTAAACTAAAAGATGTATTCTAGAAATTGCAATAACCGGATCACAATGCCGACGATCCAGACTTTTTTATTGCTCTGACTTTCGCTTATTGAATAAAGCACTACATTTTATTTTGATTTTCGATGTAGTAATTCACATTTGGTTAATTATAACTTGTCTAGATCTAGAGGCTCAGCATCCCCTAGCCTCTCTCTAACTACGGCCTTGTCTATGAGTTATGAAAAATCGAGAAAATATAAAAGTACTAAATTGCACGACGGACTCCATTACTCCGTCCTTAGGCTATCCTCGATAAGAAAAACAACTTGAAAGTGTTTATGTTTATACATCGGAAGAATATCACGTGGAAATTAGTTTGATTTGAATGAGTTCGTTCCCTCAAAACAGAAGATCAAAACTATTAAGTAGTAAGCTACAATTAATAAAACGTTCTGAATATCATTATTACAACTTTTATTAAATAAAGATGTTTGTGTTTTCACATTTTCGGGAAAATGGGGTGACGCGTTCTTAATTTGATCAATAAAAAATCTGAATGCAATGATGAATCACAAGTAAAAACTATTCATATTTTACACATTATGGGTAGACTTTATTCGGCAAAATTTTGAGATAACGTCATGAAGATTTATTTTGATTAACAATTTTCCATGCTTACAATGACTTTACAATGTCTGCAAGATTTCAAAGCGTTCAGTTTTGCAATTCTTGATTTATTCAATAAAATAAATTGACTGATTTATTAATTTTTTTGAGTCACCCTGTATAAGCAAGTCTAAAAAATATGAATGCATTGATAAATTACAAGTACATACTGATCATATGTTGCACATTTTAGTTAGGATTTATTCGGGAAAATTTTGAGATGACGTAATCAATTTTTTAGGGTTGATAAACAGATATATTTTAATTAAAAAATTACCATGCTTACAATAACTTCAAAACGTCTGCAAGATTTTAAATTATTAAGACACCCTGTATAAGCAAATCTAAAAAATATTAATGCAGTAATAAATCATAAGTATAGACTCATTGTCATCATACATTGTACATTTAAGATAGGATTTGTTCGGCAAAATTTTGGGGTGACGTCATCAATTTTTTAGGGGGGATGAGCAATTAAATTTGATCAAAAATTTACCATGCTTACTAAGACTTATGTTAGCACCCGCCCTTTATTTTCTCAGAGGGTAGTACTTGCTGGTACTTGATACAATAAGTCTTATTTTGGCAAATGACATATCCTCTGAGAAAATAGGGGCGGGTGGGCGGGGTTACTACTTGCTGAGATAAGACTGATTTTGGCAAATGACATATTCTCTGAGAAAATAGGGGGTGGGTGGGCGGGGCTAGCATTTGCTAAGATAAGACGGATGTTGCCCCTATTAAACTTGTAAAAACTTGTTAAATTTAAAAGGTGTTAAATTGCAAATTTCCATAGCAACGAGTTAAATTCCTATATTCTGACTGGATGTTTATTTTTTAACAATTCAGTCATTAATTTTTTTGAATCACCCCCTTTAAACAAATCTAAAAAATATGAACGGAGTGATAAACCACAAGTACACCTCTATAATCCGAACCCACGATTATCCGTACATCCAGGAATTCGAACAGAGGTTAGTTGAAATCGATGTCTCTTTAATCCGAACAAAAACTCTGCAATCCGAACTGAACTTGCAAACATGCACCGATATGCAAAAATAATGCATGATCTTCTGCACGTGTTGTATTGAATTTTTTGAAATTTTTAAAAATTACGATATTTCAGTGGACGTTTTCAGAAAAACGGTTGGAGTTTTCGAAGAAATGAGGACGGAAGTGACTTTTGTGGCCCGAAATCTACAAGAAATGTATTTAGTTAAATTTCGAAAATCGTCGAAAATGATGGGTCGAAATTTACATAGTGGAAAATCTCATTTTTGAAAAAGTCGTCTAAACATTCTGAAAAAATTCAGGGATATAGATCTCGACGTGTTGATTCCAAAAATATAGCGTATTTATGGTAACGGAGAAATAATTTCGGTAAATTCGGTGTGAAATGCGAATTTTTTGAAATTTTAAAAAATTGCGATAATTCAGTGGGCGACTATGGAAAAACGGTTGCAGTTATCGAACAATTGAGGCCCGAAGGGACTTCTGCGGCCCAAAATCTAAAACAGAGTGTATTTTGCTAAATTTCGAAAATCGTCGAAAATGGGTCGAAATTTCATTTTTTAAAAAGTCGTCGAAAATTCTGAAAAAATTCAGGGTTATAGGTCTCGACGTGGTGATTACAAAAATATATAGTGTTTATGATCATGGAGTAATATTTTTTCGAATGTATCTATTATCCATTGTTGCTTAAGAATACTTTATTTTTGTTTAATAAAATTAAGGTTTATTTCTTCGAGTTTGTTTTGAGCAATGTATGAAACTGTTATTCAATTCCCTTTCAGATTTTTGAGAAATTCTCTGATCCGAAAACATCGCTAATCCGAACACACCTTTTCCCCAATTAATTCGGATTATCGAGGTTATACTGTATAGACATAATTTAGATAATATTTATCCGGCAAAATTTTTGGAGGGGAAAAGCGAATATATTTTGATTAAAAAATTATTATGTTTACCATAAATTTAAAACATGTGCAAGATTTCAAAGTAATCGGTTTTGCAGATTCAAAATTAAATTGCAAAATCTTGTTTCATAATTTTGATTTTTTTTCCAAAAATCTGGACGTTTGGGGTAAAAACTCAACATGGCGTCATATAAACTACTTGTGTCGGACTATGTTATTTTATACAATTTAAAACCCATTTACTATATGATTTTAAAGTAACGTTAAACATTATTATTGATGGAGATGACTAGACAAATTTTGGTTTACCATCTACATAATATAGATACAAAATTTGACAACAATTGGCTCCGTACTTTCGGAGATTATCTGTTTAATAAAAATCCGGGACTGCAAACAGACAGACGGGCAGACAGACACACAGAGAGACGGACAGACAGACAGACAGACAGACGGACAGACAGACAGACGGAAACGGGAGACCGATTTCTTCGTACTGCAGCGGTCATGAAAAGTCGAGAAAATGTAAAAGTAGAGAGTCGGCCGACGTCGCTTACACTCGGGAAGTAAAAATCATTGATGACGTCAAAAGATGGAGAATAAAAAAAAAGCTTGACATGTTTTTGCATTTTTTTTCAAAAACAATGACTGCGCTTTTTATGAATTTTATGTATTACTTTATCATAAACCTGTAATCAACGTTTACAAAATCATAAATAAAAAAAATTGGTTGTTTTGTGAATATGTTACTCTGTTAAATGTTAAATTAAATTTTTAACATAATAAAAAAATGGACCAAAGTTATTTAGATCTTCCTTCGCCCCTGAAGTGCAATCAAACAAATTCAGAGTAATAATAATAACAGTGCTGAGTAAAATAAATTGCTTACTTCTTTTTTACTTACCCTATATAAGCAATTCTAAACATTATGAATGAATTGATAAACCAAAAGTGTAGATAATATTTTGCACATTTTAGGTGAAAATTTTTGAGGTTTGAGGGAAGAGATAAAAAGATAAATTTTGATTAACCACGCTTATGATAGTCTTAAAACGTCTACAAGATTTCAGAGCATTTGGTTTTCCAAGTTTCTAAGTTAAGATATAAAATGTTATATATTTTCATTTTTTTTTAATCAAGGCGGACTCATAAACCACAAGTATAGAAGTACGTTACCTTATAAAACTTAAACAGTATTTACTATGCAAAATTTTGAGAACAATGAGGTCATTAAGTTGTTGATGGCGATGATCAAACAAAATTTTACCCATACAATTTCACAACAAGCATTCCAATAATTTTGGAGATTATTTGTCTAAAAAAATCGCCAACAGTCTGTAGGTAAATGGAAACAGGAGACGTATTTTTTGATACTCTGATGGTTATTAAACGTTGAGAAAACATGAAAGTAGTCATTTGTTCGATGGACCCTTGGCTTACGCTCAGGAAGCAACAAAAAAATTAGAAGGTAATAACAGAGTAAAATAGAAACGAGAAAATGAATATTAACAATGTCGAAAAACGAGAAAATTACAGGAACAGAATTTTTCAACAAAACAAATATTTGTGAGAACAGAACGTAAAGTCGAGTAGGCAATGTTATTTTGTCAATTTTTCTTTAAATGTCAAAAAAATTTAAAACTATTTTGAAAAACAGAATACTCAAAAACATGTTTTTAATCTCTTGTAAAGAAATAAGTATTTTGCAGTTAAGCTCCGCCCCCTTGGTTCACGACGAATCAAAAAAATCATCACAGTTGAGACAGGGCGAGTGGGCGGGCTTACATTTTGCCTTTCGTCTGTAGACTTCTTTTCACAACATGAAACTTAAAACATTTTTAAAATTTAAAATTTGTACAAGGGAATATCGCTTTTGCAATTAGGCTCCGCCTCATTGTTACAAAATCCATATTTCCTTGCAAAAATGTACCATTTTAACCATGTTTTAAGTTTGTTGTTGTGAAAAGATGGCTATGTTTATTAAGAAAAAAAACCGCAAAATATAAGCCCCGCCCACCCGCCCTGTCTCAATTCTGATGATTTTGTTTATTCGCCGTAAGCCGAAGGGCGGAACTTAATTGTAAAATCCTTATTTTTCTACGAGAAATTACCATGTGAAATATGTCCGTAGATAATAAAAAAGAAAAGCAAAAGAGAAGCTCCACCCACCCGTCTCGATCTCAATCGTGATAAATTTTTCATTCGTTGTCAGACCCAGGGGAGGAGCGTAATTGCAAAATCGATATTTCCATACACAAATTTACCATTTTAAACATGTTTTAAGTTTCTTGCTGTGAAAAGATGACTACACATATTAAGAAAAAGTCGTATTAGTTTCAGTTTCGCTTGAAATGACATCAACTTTCTTTTTTTTTTAATACAGAAGGGTATAAGTTTTCAGTACATTAAATAATGTCCTTTTTTGTCTTTTCAACGATATATCACATGATACGATGTTATTTATTTGAATGTTTTAAAACGCATATAAAATAAAAAAAAAAAGAAATTTAAAACGATCATATGCAACTAAGTATTTTAATAAAAGCAAATTAAAACAATACAAAAACAATAACTTTAAATTAAATGTTCAAATTGACGACCTCCTGCCTCTAAACAATATTCTTCCTGGATTAATCCTATCACATTCTACCCTAATTCTTTGCTTAAGGTCTTCTAAGTCTCTTAGAGGTGGCTGATATCTTTTAAATAACTCCACCAAAAAAAATCGAGAGGTGTTAGATCTGGAGATCTGTCATGCCACTAAATTATTTCAATTTTGCCAATCCATCTACGAGGAAACGAATCATTCAAATAATTTGTTATTATTCACGAGTTATGTGGTGATGCACCATCTTGTTGGAAATACATTCTTTCTCTCACGACGCCTGGAACATTTTCGAATAACACAGGAAGTTCGTTTACAACAAATTGATACCCCAAGCGTGTTGAAAATGAGTTTCTCTTAGCCAGTGAGGATTTTCTGAAGCCCCGTAACTGTGCTCTTTTAGATTTAGAAAAAAAGTTGATGCAATTTCCGGTGAAACTGAAGTTAATACGATGCCAATAGTCTACTCATGTTTAAAAATAATTTAGATATTTGAATAGAACATGTACGCTTGGACACCCGGTATTTATTTAATAATTTTTTTGAAATAACGTCATCAATTTTTAGAGGACATGAATAAATAAAAATTTGTTACCGTCATGTAAACAATAAAACAATGTTAGTATATTTTTAGTGTATTTTTGACAAGACTACTGTGAAAACATCACACACTTATTACTAGTTGTCAACCCGGAATTTATAAAAGATATGCACAAGCACATTTTCACACTTGAAAAGTTAGGTTATGATTATGACGCTGACATTTGTGACAGATGACGAGTGGTCACAATCATTACGAAGCGGCAAAATTCAGACATTTCATAGCCCACTACGAACTTGATGACAAAGTGACGTTATGATGATGTTTGCATTAAAATTAAAATGAAAAATTAATAAATGAATCTTTATTAAAAAGTACACTCTTAAAAAGCATGCAGAATTGTGCTTCAGAGGCGAGGGAAGCTCTGAGTGCTCTTACTAAATAACTATAGACCCTTTGCTGTATGTAGTAGTTGCATCCAATCTTCTTTCACTTTGGTGTGTTTATTACTAAAAATTTAATTTCAATAAAACTTTACTCATTTAAGTCCTACACGACGACTGACGATTCGAAATCTTGAATAACGCTTGATTCGAAAATAGATTGACAAACTGAGTTCTTTACCACAGTTTCTTGTATTTTTTCTTTTTCACTGTTTCAACTGATTTTTATTTCCCAGCCCCCTCACAGATTTTGGGACTTAGTTTTCACTAAAAATCTTCCACGGGACGAGCCTTACGAAAATCAGGTGGATTCAGATCTCGCCCACATTTTAGTAAATTTTCAGCAGGTTTACTTCACGATGTTTTATGATCTGGTAAATAGTGTTCCTATTTTCAAATTTTCTTTAACAACGTGATTAACTGTTGTTTTGCTCCATTTTATAGAAGCTTTGTAAACACACATAAATTCACTTACGCCAAAGCTTTCATTATTCTAAACAATTAAAATTAAATGTTATCTAAAAATATATGTTTTAATGGTTACAAATTGTTCATTTACTTTCGAATCAAACGTTAAAAACATGACTTCAATGGATGAATTGGGATTGAACCCTTCTCCAGCAACCACTGTTTGTTTTATGCAAAAATTTGCATACTCATAAACTTTTTCCACTAGCTTCTAAATTATTTATGTATCTCACCAAAATTACTTTTTTTGACGAAAATTAACTCAAAATAGGTGCACACAGACCAGTTACTTACTTTCGATGGTTCTTCCCCATATAATGAGATTCAGCATGCAACTTCCCCGTCAAAGGCAGATCACAAACATCACAATAAAAATACAAAGGATTGCTTTCATCTCCATCAGACTCTTTAGCTTTTGGCATAATTTTGGCTCTTTTGTGCAAGGGCTCCCCCGTCCTCTCTGAGTACTCAATCAAAAACTTCCGAATTTTCTTCTCGTGATTTTTTGATTTGTAATGTAACTTAGCGACCACATTACTACTAAGTTGTGCGGAGCAGAGCTTGCAATATAACGGTTGAAACAGTGAGGTTAATTCTCTTGGGAGGGTTTCATCAAAACAATCAGGGATAGTCTCTCTCACTACGACAAGTACATAGAACCACTTCCAACAAGAGACAAAGCTACTTACAAATATGATTTTGGTAAGTCTTAGGCTTCTCGTACTCCCTTTTCTGCAACGACTGTAAAATGAGATTTCTTGCTGCATCGATTTGATATGGCGATATTATTGGGGGCTGGGGCTCTGTTAAGTAATTGTAATATGAGTTCTCCATCACTTGTTGGTTCATTATCGTGGGGGCTTCGTCGGAATTTGCTCTTTTTTTGGGTATTTTAAAGTTTCGGTCTAGTTCTTTGGCTGAAATTAGAAAATGTCAATGTTTTTGTGAGGTTATGTCTGAAAGTTTTTTGCGTTTTTTGTGGGGACACTTGTTGAGATTACGAAAGGGGCTTACCTGGGATGTACTCGCCGTCGTCGGTGGTTTGCATATTAAATGTATGGTATTTAAATCGACAAAAATATATATTTTCTAATTGGAGTAGGTGTTGACAAATGTCACAAACGTCAACAAAATAAATTATCAAGGACACAATAACGTGTAATGTTGGTTGTATACACACCATTTAAATTACACGTGCCTTTAGCGGAACGTCAAATAAAGTGGAGTACTGAAATTCCGTCGTGTTGTCCGACACGCTGATTTTGAACGATAATTATTTTTGAGTAAATTTAAACATAATGTCAAACGAAATATAAAAACACAATACAGAGCATAAATCTAGTTAGGACAAAACCTATTTGCAATCAATCTTTATGGAAAAGCAAAAGGTGAAACATATATTTATCATTAATCAGAAATGAAATCAAGGTTCAATTACGAGTGATTAATATCACAACCTTATAATTTAGCGGTGTTGTTCACATTTATTTGATCTAAATCAATCAGTTGACTATAGATTAAGTTTCTACAATGTCCTCAAAGTATTTAGACAAAATTTTTAAATTCGGGCATATTTTAGCCCTTACACCTTGTTTCAAAAAAACAAAACCAAGTTTGCTAAGCAAAATTTACGCTTTCATGGTTGGTTTATTTATAACAGCAGCTATACCTCTTACTATTTACAACAGACACTTTTACCAAGAGCAACGTAGCCGTCAAATGTACATAAAAATTGCACTGTGTGCCCTCCTAGACATAAACTTACTGGCATTTAATTACTTTACAATAACAGCTCTCGTTTTCAAGCACGATCAGTGGAAAAATCTCATAACAAGACTTACAGTTATAGTAAAAAACATGGATGGAGTTACACTAAAATTAAGAATTTTTGTTTTCGCACAGGTTGTAGGAATTGCAACTATGGTAGCATCGTTGACATTGTGGTTAAATGTGTATGGGATGTTGTACTTTAGCAGATACAACATACAATATCTCCAGTACTATATTCTGTTTTATTACGAAACACTTCTGTGTTTGATAATACTGTTGTTAGGTGCTTTATACAAAAAAATATCGAACCACTTGCGGTACCTAACTTTGAAAAACTACTCTGAAGCAAATGTCTTAACTGCTGTGAAAAAACTGGACGATTGCTTGTGTTTTTTAAAAGATGCTGTTGATGTTTTCAACGACATTTTCGCATGGCCGATGTTTTTAATCATTTCGTATACTGTATTACACACACTTAATGATTCTTACATTATTTTTGTCAATATATCTGTCTACAAGTACGATCACTATACTAAGACAAAAATTCTGGCGCAGTTCATGCTCGTTTCGTTGCTTTGTGTGAGTGTGTTTTTATTCTTAGACTGGATAGTTACTAATTTTTTTTAGGTAGGAGCACTTAATTTGATTTTTATTTGTGACGCCGTTCTCAAGGAAGTCGAAAAAATTCTGTCGTTATCACAAAAACTGAAGAGGAGATTCAAGCTTTTGTCCCCTCGGACGAGAGAGGAAATTTGTGAACTTTGTACCAGTGTGACAGACAATTTTCCGAAATTTTAAGCAGCTCGATTTTTTGAAGTGGATCGATCCGTTATTCTTAGTGCTCTCGAAACTATTGCTACGTTTCTAATTATTATGATTCAATCCCGAATAAGTTCGAATTGAAAAACAGGATATATATAATGTACCGAGAGTTTTTTTCTTAGGCTTTTACAAAATTAGTAATCAAAAAATATAGGATTATAAAGTTTTTCAGCGAAAATCGAAGTTAAGTCCAATATCTAAAACAACTATTCCCAAAAAAAAATCAAATAACCGCGAAATGTCATAATTAAATCGAAAAATGTTTTCCTATAAACACGAAGTTATTAAAAACAAATCAATTTGTGCCGGTATTTTTAAATTAGGCCCGAAAATGAATGTTAATAAATCTTAGTACGAGTAAAATGTGTTGAGTTAGTGCTGTGACTATGAAGGAAAGTGGAAAGGGCAAGTACAATTTGAATTTCAATAGTGGTTTCCTGTCAAATCGTTTCGACAATTTCTAAATTTTTATTAATTTTTAAACGTATTAATGATAATTATTAAGAAACAGAATCATATTAGTGCCGTGACTTTTAGGAAATGAGGTGGAAATGCACTTTTTAGGGAAGGTCATAGAAAAGCAGGAAAAGCGAGTTCGTTAGTGAAACCAACTCGTGCAAACGCTGCTTATAAATTATCATGACATAGTTAAATAATATTTAAATATTAGTTAATAATTAATATCATAATTAAACCGAGTGTTTTCTTATAAACACGAAGTTATTAAAAACAAATCAATTTTGTGGAAACATTGTTAAATTAAACCAGAAAATGTACAATTTCTTGGCCAAATTTGTAGATTTTTTTTGAAAAGCTCATCATGACCTTACTGTTACGCAACTAAGCGAGTTTTTCGGGCAAATGAAGTAAAATCTCGGCCTTTCAGGCATCGGTTTAAATTTTTCCCGCGTTGGTTCAGCAGGTCGCTTCTGTCCTTGACCATGGAACTGCACGATTTAATTTTTCTAACTATTTTAAAAACAAGACAAAGGCGGATCTCCGAAATTCCTTTAAACTACTTCAAAAACAAAACCAAATGGGTTTTCGAGATGCTTTCAAATTACTTCAAAAATAAGATAAAAAAAAGGCGCCTGAGATTCTGTCAAAACACTTCAAATACAACAGAAAGAGATCCCCAAGGTTCTTTCAAACTACTTCAAAAACAAAATACAAAGAGTTCTCGTGTTTCTTTCAAATTACCTCAAAAACAAAACAAAAAGGGTTCCCCAGATCCTTTAAACTATATTTTGTTAAATTACTTTAAAAACAACAAAAAGGGATCCCCAAGGTTCTTTCAAACTACTTCAAAAACAAAACAAAACGGGTCCCCATTTCCATCAAACTAGTTCAAAAACCAAGCACAAGGGATCTCCGAAATTCTTCGAACTAGTTCAAAAACAAAACACAACGACTCCTCGAGATTGTTTCGAATTACTTCAAAAACTAGATAAACAGGATCCCTGAGATTTTGTCAATTTACTTCAAAAACAACAATAAGGGAACCCGAAGTTGTTTCAAACTACTTCAAAAACAAAACGCGAGGAATCCTCGAGATTCTTCCAAATTACTTCAAAAAGAACATAAAAAGAGTCCCTAAGATTCTATCAAATTACTTCAAAAACAACACAAGGAATCCCCAAGGTTCTTTCAAATTACTTCAAAGACGAAACATAACCGACAGGGATCATCTGGAAATCGGGAATTTTCCAGAGTCCCTAGTAGTGTTTCAAAAGCAAAACGAAAAGGGTTCCCAGATCCTTTAAACTACTTCAAAACAAAGCACAAGGGATTTCCGACATTCTTTAAAACTATTAAAAAAAACGAAGGAACTCTCGCAATTCTTTCAAATTGCTTCAAAAACAAGATAAACAAGCTCCCGGAGATTTTGTCAAATTACTTTATACACAACAAAAATAGATCCCCAAGATTCTTTCAGACTACTTTAAAAACAAAACGAAAAGGGTCCTCCAGATCCTCCAAAGTAATTCAAAAACCAAGCATAAGGGGTCACTGAAATTCTCTCAGACTACTTAAAAAACAAATCAAAAGTGGTCCCCGAGAATTTTTCAAACTACTTCAAAAACAAAACACAGGAAGTTCTCGAGATTCTTTCAAATTACTTCAAACACAAAAGTGGTCCCTGAGGTTCCTTCAAACTACTCTAAAGACAAAACAAAAGGGGTCCCGAGAATCTTTCAAACTATTTTAAAAACAAGACACAAGAAGTCTTCGCGATTGTTCCAAGTTGCTTCAAAAAGAACACAAAAAGAGGCCCTAAGATTCTGTCAAATTACTTCAAAAACAACACAACGGATCCCCAAGCTTCTTTCAAATTACTTCAAAGACAAGACTTCACGGGCAGGGATCATCTGGAAGTCAGGAATTTTCTAGAGCCCCTATTAGTCTTGGTACACCAGAGCGACGGTGTCGGTATTCAAATTTTATATACTTCAAAAGCGAAACGAAGAAGGTCGAGATTCTTTCAAATTACTTAAAAAAAAATAAAAGGCTTCCCTGAAATTCTGTCAAATTACTTCAAAAACAACAAAAGGGGATCCCCAAGGTTCTTTCGAACTAATTCAAAATCAAAACGAAAAGGCACCCTAAGATCTTTCAAACTACTTCAGAAACAGATCAAAAGTGGACCTCGAGAATCTTTCAAACTACTTCAAAGACAAAACACAAGATGTCGTCTAGATTCTTTCAAATTACTCCAAAAACAAAATAAAAGTGGTCCTGAGGTTCTTTCAAACTACTCCAAAAACAAAACAAAAAGGGTCCAGAGGATCTTTCAAATTATTTCAAAAACAACACAACGGATATCCGAGATTATTTTAAATTACTTCAAAGACAAGATATCACGGGTAGGGATCATCCGGAAATCGGGAATTTTCCAGAGCCCATATTAGTCATGGTACACCCTAGCGCCGGTGTCAGAATCCAAGTTTTATATACTTCGAAAACTAAACGAAAAGGGTCCCTAGATTCTCAAAATCCTTCAAAAACAAAACACAAGGATTCCTTGATATTTTATATTACTTCAAAAACAACATGAAAGGGGTTCCTGAGATTCTGTCAAATTACTTCAAAAACAACAAAAAGGTATCCCCAAGGTTATTCCAAACTACTTCAAAAACAAAACTGAAGGGATTCCTCAAATCTTTTAAACTACTTCAATAACAAATCAAAAGTGGTCCCCGAGAATCTTATCTTTCAAACTACTTCAAAAACAAAACACAAAGAGTTCTCGAGATTCTTTAAAATTTCTTAAAAAAAAAGATAAAACACAAGAAGTCCTCGAGACTCTTTCAAACTATACTTCAAAAACAAGACAAAAGTAGTCCTTGAGGTTCTTTCAAACCACTTTCAAAACAAAACAAAAATGGTCCCCGAGGATCTTCCAAACTACTTCAAAAACAAAACAAAAGAAGTCGCTGAGAATCTTTAAAACTAAGTCAAAAACAAAACAGAAAAAGTCGTCGAGGTTCTTTCAAATTACTTTGAAGCGAGACAAAAATGCTCCCTGAGGTTCTTACAAACTACTTCAAAAACAAAACATAAGGAGTCCTCGAGGATCTTTCAAACTATTACTTCAAAAACCTAAACACAAGGAGTCCTCGACATTATTTCAAATTACTTCAAAAAGAAGACACAAAGGGTCCCTGAGATTCTGTCAAATTACTTCAAAAATAACACAAGGGATTCCTGAAATTTTTTCAAATTACTGCGGGCAGGGACCATATGAAAATCGGGAATTTTCCAGAGGCGCTAGTAGTCGTGGTACACCAGAGCACAGGTGTCAAATTTTATATACTTTTAAGTGAAGTAAAATTTCGGCCTTTCAGGTGCCGGCCTAAATTTTTCTCCTGCTGGTTCACCAGGTCCCATCCGTCGTTAAAAAAACAATGTCAGAACTTAGCACCTGTTATTGAAGGAATCTGCACACTTTTATCTTTGCTTTAATTTTAACTTATTGTTGTTTTAGATTCTTATTTTTAATGGAGTGACACCTCTGACTTCTTGGTATGAATACTTTTTATTTTTATCAATTTTTTTTCCAAAAAGCTGGATTTGTTCTGTGGGATGTGGGTGGATGTAACAATAATGGATCAAATTTAGAAATGAAAGTAAACGATGAAGAAAAGAATAAAGAAAAAAACAAGCAAATGCTTCGCTAGGAATAGAATCTGCTAAATCTTACTTAAGTTCGTCGACTAAAGAAGAACACTTATAGAGATGTGAAAAAAGAAGAATAGAGAGAACCTGAATTAGCTATAGGTATAGGTATACTACCATTGTTGTATGGTTTCTGAACAGAACCAAATAAAGGAAACGGCAAGGGAACGCCAAGGACACCAGGTACAGTCAAAACACTTCTACCGTTCGTGAAAAGGTAGTGCTTTAGAAATGACTGGTCAATCAAGTACCTATCAAAAAGAATGACAAGTAAACTACGATTGGCGAGAACTACAAAAGATAAATCTTTTCATAGTTATAATGTTAAACTAACCATTAGTTTTAACAGTGTTACATCCATTTGCTTAGATTTTAGAACATTTACATTACATCTTGTTAAACCACGTTATATGAAATTTAAAATAAAAAAACAACCTATTTCGTAAGTGAGTGATCCCACCTAGATATTTTTGCATATCTATATGATATAGATAAAGCACACCTTTTATTTCACTACATTTTAATGTTTATACATATTTACAACATACTAACTTAACATACAACATTTACATACATTGTGAGAGTGTCAAAAGATTAGAAACCACGAGTAATAAATTTACAGATCTGATGAAGGATTAAGTACAATAAGCGTATAAAAAATTAGAACAATACAACAGAAAACAGACATAAACAGAAATATAAATAGTACGTCCAACTAAAAATAACACAAATTTCGCCTAAACCACGCCATATTGTCTAAATGGCGCCAATATAAAAAACTTAACAATAAAAATGAGGTAGCACCAATACGAAATCTACGTAAAAAAGCCAACTAAATCACGTGACTATTTACATTCTTCCGGAAAGTGTCACTTGACATCTCGCATAAATAAAAATAACTTACATAGTCTACTACTAAAAAAAGTTAACAGTCTTATCCATGTTCCTTTTTGTTAAGCCACCGAAGCCGACTTTATTATCTGTCGATCGTGATATTAAGTGCTTGTAGCTCCTCCTTCGTCAATATCCTCTTATTAACAATCTTCGATCTTGGATCGAAATCGTTGAGTTTGAGGTGTTGTCTTTGATGACGTATATGTCGCGGTGAAAGCAGCTCGGGTAAAGTCGCCAGGCGTTCGAGTTTGTCTCGTTCGGCCAATAGCTGTGCGTGTTCGTGCGATTTCTTCAAATTGCACGCGTTTGTCCGAAGATTCGCGATGCGTGGCCGTGGGTGGTTTTTGGGGAAATCCAAGGTACAAATGTCTATTGTTGGTAACATTGATGTGTCACCAGATAGGGACGCTGTTGAATTTCGTCCAAGTAGGCTATTAATTCGCTGGTCAAGCGAGTTTGATTGGAGGGCAGCGTCCTTGATGATGGTGGGAATGGGTTTTGGAGTGGCTGTTGAAAAAAAACTACGTTAGGATGGTTTATGAAGAACGACATCGACAAAGTTCTTTGGAGAAGAGAATTTTCTCTGGGAGTGCAGTTACCATACTCTCCAAACAACTCACTACTTTGAGAATAAAAATGAAAATCAAACACATACACACACCAAAAATTATCAAACCCATGCATCAATCTTTCGATTAGAGTGTCAATATTCACTCCAAACATGTTAATAGTGTTATCGCAAACTCACACGCGCCAACCATGCACAAAGCTCCTTTGAAGAGTCGATCAGCCTTCAGAACGTTTCCGTCTTGGTCTTCCACTAGTATGGCCAGACTCAGATTGCTTCCGTTGGACCAATCTCGGGTTGCTGGTTTAACACTTAATTCAACCCACTTTGCGTTCTCCTGGATGACTTTGCTGTCAGAAAGGCGCCTCCTGACTGAAAACAAAACAACAAATATGATAACAGAACCAAAGAAACCTTAGAGTCACCTTTTTTCTTCCTTATAGATCTGCTATACCAATAAATGGACACTCTTAGTAATTTATCTTCTTCAGAAGTGCTACTGCTGTCACAATCCGGAGTTTTACCACCAGTCACTTTCGTTGTATTCTCTGATGGTACTCGATACAATCGAAGAGTTGCTGTAGCTATACTCATGCCTTTTTCGTCAGCGCTGCGGTGAAAGTTGTTGAAATACAAATTCATGACATTATCATTTTTCCAAGTGTCTTGGTCCATGTTTGAAGGGGCATCGCCTAAATCGTCAAAAATGAATTATCATGAAAAAGAAGAATGTTGCTAACGTACATGAAGGGTAATAACTTCGGATCTTCTCACTTATGCCATCATCCAAAAGTGTGCTGTTGAATAATTGCGGAATCATCGTTAAATTCATCGCGTTGGGGTTGTTTTCGTTTATGGATGTTGTCATATTCGAGCGGCCTATGTGGAGAAGAATGTTTTCTTTAAGAGCTTGGACCCAATTATCCCTGGCCCTGGAGGAAGAAACAAAGTGCAACTTACTGTTGTGCTGTACAACAATGAATGCTCGAGTGTTAAAATAGCATCAATGTTACCAAATCAATGTTTTTGTGGTTGCGATTAGGTATAGTATTAAATACATGCCGGTTAACATAGGCAGAACGCAAAAATCAGATAAGAATGCATAAACATTTCATTTAGTATTATCTATCAACAAGCCTGCGATGTGATGTTAAGCAGAAAAAATATATATTGGCCAGTTTTTTACATTTTCGGGAAAGTGGCTTTTAACTGATAAGAGTAATTTAATATAAAAGGAAAAATGGAGGAAATTTCTAATTTATTCCGAATTATTTTGTGTCTGTGTAGTTGGCATATTTCTTTAACGTAAATTTGAAGAACTGGAAAGAATTTCAGAGACCTCTCAATTTTATTTTTCAAAGAATCTTAAATAATCTTGGAGTGCTTTGACTTTTGTTTTTGGAAGACTTTGGAAGAGTCTCCTAAGTCCCTGGTGTTTAATTTGTGGAAGAGTGTCAAAATCCCTCGTGTTGTTTTTGGAAGTATTTTAAAGAATTTCGGGGGACCTTAGCGTTTTATATTTAAAATCTTGAGGGTCCTGGTGTTTAATTTTCGAAAGAGTATTGATTCTCTGTGTTTTATTTTTGGAAAAGTTTTAAAATAATCTTCGTGGCCCTTCGTGTTTTAATCTTAGATAATAGCTTAAGCAAGCTTAAAACCCTCTTGTGTTGTGATATTTAAAGAACTGGAAAGACTCTCGGGTTGCTATTGCTTTGTTTTTGAGAGAACTGGAAAAAATCTCGAGGGTCCGGCCCCTGTTTTTAGAACATTAAAATTTTTAATTACCGAGATTTCTAATGTGTTAGATTTGAAAAAACCTTAAATAATCTTGCCATCCATTGTGTTCTATTTTTGGCTGAATTTTAAAGAATCTCAGAGGTCCTTGGTGTTTTAATTGTGGTAATATTTTGAAAAAATTTTTGAGGTCCCTGATGTTTTATTTTTGAAATAACTGGATAGAATTTTGAGAGACCTCGTTTTATTTTTTAAAGAACTGGAAAAAGTTGAGGTCTCGGATGTTTAATATTTTTGAAAGAATCTTGGAATCGTCTTTGCTTTTAGAAGAGTTTGAAAGAATTTCAGGGACCCCTTGCGTTTTAGATTTGAAAAAATCAGAAAGAATCTTACGATCCCTTTTGTTTTGTTTTTAGAAGAGTTTTAAATAATCTCGGGTGACCTTAGCGTTTTATACTTGAAAAAAATCGTAATGATCCTAAGATCCGCTGTGTTTTATTTTTGGAGGAGTATTAAAGAATTTTCGGGGTTCCTAGTGTTTCAGTTACTGACAATATTTAGAACAATCTTGGGGGTCCTTGGTGTTTTTGAAAGAATCTTGGTTCGTTGTGGTTTATTTTTGAAACCATCTGGAAGAAACTTAGGGATCTCTTGTGTTTTATTTTTGGAAAAGTTTTAAAAAATCTTCGTGGCCCTTGGTGTTTTAATTTTAGATCATACTTAAATAATCTTGGAACTCCCCATAGTGCTGATTTTTTAAAGAACCAGAAAGAATCTCGGGGGTTGCTATTGTTTTGTTTTTGAAAGAAGTGGACAAAAGCTCGAGGGTTCGGCCCCTACTTTCAGAAGAATAAAATTTGTAATCGCGGGGACTCCCAGGTGCTTTAGGTTTCAAAAAATCTGAAATCATTTTTTGCTTTATTATGCTCTATTTTTGGAAGGATTTTAAAAAGTCTCAGAGGCCCCTGGTGTTTTAATTTTTAACAATGTTTGAAAGAATCTAGGAAAAGCATGATAATTTGCTTTCCACAAAGATTTTTGGGGGTCCTTGTTGTTTTATTTGTGATAGAACCGGGAAAAAATCTCTAGGTACCTGGTGTTTAATTTTTGAACGAATCTTAGAACTCCTCGTCTTTTAAAGAGTTTTAAAGAATCTGGGGGCTCCAGGTGTTTTAAGTTTGAAGAAAGCCGATTAAAATCTTAATGGTCCTTTGTGTTTTGCTTTTGCGAGTTTTGAAATAATGTAACACGATGGTGGTGTTTTAATTTTTGACAATATCTAAAATAATTTGTGGGAACCCTGTTGTGTTATTTAAAAAAAAGCAGAAAAATCTTGAGGGTCGCCTGATGTTTCATTTTTTAAAGAATCTGGGGGCCACTAGTGTTTTATATGTCTTTGAAAAAATCTGAAATAATCTTTGGAATCCCTTGTGTTTTATTTTTGGAACAGTTTTAAAGAAGCGTCTGGGAACTTCGTGTTTTAATTTTTGCCAACATCTGAAGGAATGTTGGAAGTCTCTGGTGTTTTCTTTTTTAAAGAACTGGAAAGAATATTGAAATCCCTTGTTTTTCAATATTTGGAAAAATTTGAAAGAATCTTTGTGGCCCTTGGTGTTTGAATTTTTGACAATATGTGAAAGAAACTTGGGAGTCCCTTATGTTTTGCCTTTCAAAGAACTGGAAAGGATCCTAAGGCTCCCTGTTTTACTTTTAAAAGAACCGGAAAAAATCTCAGGAGTCCATCCATGGTCCTTAATTTTTTGAAAGAATTTTGGAGTTCTTTCGTTTTGTTCTACGAAATTCCAAAGGTCTCTGGTATTTTGTATTTGAAAAAAAACTGAAAGAATCTTGGGGGGTTTGGTGTTTTAATTTTTGACAATATCTGAAGCAATCTTGGACACCCCTGTTGTGTTGTTTGTTAAAAAAATTGGAAAGAATCTTTGTTTTTGTTATTTTATTTTTAAAAAAATTGAAACAAAGTTTCGAGGGTACCTGGTACTTAATTTTTTAAAGAATCTTGGGGATTTGTGTTTTGTTTTTCGAAGAATCTGAAAGAATCTCGGCGACTCTTAATGTTTTAGGTTTGAAGAAACCTGAAAGAATCTTACGGTTTTTTGTGTTTTGTTTTTGAATAATCTCCAAAAATCCTAATTTTTGAAAATATTTGAAAGAATTTTTTAAGTCTCTGATGTTTTATTTTTTAAATAACTGGAAAGAATCTTGAGGGACCTCGTTTTATTTAAAAAAAAACTCGACAAATTTGAGGCTCCTGATGAACGAATGTTGGAATTGTTTTTTTTTTTTAAGAGTTTGAAAGAATCTCAGGGACCCCTAGCGTTTAAGATTTAAAAAAATCGAAAAGAATCTTGCGATCCCTTGTGTTTTGCTTCCGGAAGTTTTAAAGAATCTTAGAAGATCCTGGTATTTTAATTTTTGACAATATTTGAAAGAATTTTGAGGAGTCCCGGTGTTTAATTTTTGAAAGAATATTGAGGCCATTGTGTTTTGTTTTTGGTGGAGTTCTAAAGAATTTCGGCGCCTCGGGGGTTTATATTTGAGAAAATCTGAAAGAATCTTGGGTATCCCTTGGTGTTTTAAATAATCTTGGAACACCCCTTTGTGTTGATTTTTAACGAACTAGAAAGAATCTCAAGGGTTCCTATAACTTTATTTCTTAGAGAACCGGAAAAAAAGCTCCAGGGTCCGACCAATGTTTTTGGAAGATTAAAATTTTGCCATTCATTGTATTTTATTTTTGAAGAATTTTAAAGAATCTCAGATGCCCCTGGTGTTTTAATTTTTAACAGTTTTTGAAATAATCTTGAAAAAACATGATGTTTTGTTTTCTATAAAAATGGAAAGTTTTTTGTAGGTCCCTCTTATTTTATTTAAGGTAGAACTAGGAAAAAAATCTCTAAGTCCCCGAATTTTAATTTTTAAAAGAATCTTGGAACTTTTCGTCTTTTGTTTTTAGAAGAGTTTTAAAGAAGGGGCTCCTGAAAAAGTGAAAAAATCATATGGTACTTTGTGTTTCCTTTTTGTGAGTTTTAAAATAGTGTCAGACGACGATGGTGTTTTGATTTTTGAAAATATTTAAATAATCCTTGTTGTTTTATTTTTGAAAAATCCAGAAAAATCTTGAGGGTCTCGGATATTTCATTTTTGAAAGAATCTTACGGTCCCTGTTTTGTTTTCGAAAGAGTTCTAAGGAATCTCAGGGACCTCTAGTGTTTTACATGTATTTCAAAAAACCTGAAAGAATCTTACGGTCTGTTGTGATTTGTTTTTGGAGTTTTAAATAATCTCAAAATATCCTCGTGGTGTTTTAAATTTTGACATAATTGAAAAATTTTTTTATTGATAGAAAAAATCTAAAAGAATCGTATGATTTCTTGTGTTTTGTTTTCGGAAGTTTTAAAAAATCTTAGAGGGTCCTGATATTTTAATTTTTGACAATATTTGAAAGAATCTTGAGCGCCCGGGGTGTTTAATTTTTCTAAAGAATCTCAGTGCCTGTGGCGTTTTATATTTGAAAAAATATGGAAGAATCTTGGGATCCCTGGTGTTTTGTTTTTTAAAGAACTAAAGAACTAAACGGAATCTTGAGGGGGGGAGTCCATGTTTTATTTTTGAAGAAATAGGAAAAACATCTCGAGTGTCCCTGGTGTTCAATTTTTGAAAAGTCACTAGTGCTTTGTTCCTGGAAGAATTTGAGGGAATCTAGGAGCATCTGCTACTTTATTTTTGGGAAAATTTGAAAGAACCTTAGAGGCCCTTGGTGTTTTAATGTTTCGAAATATCTGAAATATCTTTGGAATTCCTGGTGCATAATTTATCAAAGAACCTTGATACCTCTCGTTTATTATTTCTAGAAGAGTTTGAAGGAAGAATTTTGGGGACCCCATGTGTTTTGTTTTTGGAAGAACTTTTAACAATCTTATAAGCTCCTGGTGGTTTAATTGTTGACAACATCAAATAAAATCTTGGAAATGTTTGATGTTTCGTTTTCTATAAAAATTGGAAGACTTTTCGGAGTCTCTGTTGTTTTATTTTTGAAAGAGCTGGAAAATGTCTCGAGGGCCCTTATTGTTAAATTTTTGAACGAATCTCGGGGTCCCCTAGTGTTTTAATTTTTGACAATATTTCAAACAATCTTTGGGATCCCTGTTGTTTTATTTTTTAAAAAACCAGAAAAATC